GCAGTCGGTTAGTACTAAAAAATTCTAAACAATAATGGATTTAAAAGAACGTTATGTATAACCAAACACAAGGAACAGTTTCATCAATTTTAATGTACTAATAGTTTAAGGATAATAAACTAATGCACTAAATGTAACTATAACCCGTTATTTGGTAAAAATGGATTATGCTCATAGTCTCACAAAATGTGTTTTGCTTATTACTTCCAAAGATTTCTCAGATTACGATATGGAGCCGATCAAATTTACTATATTGGTTGCACCTTTTATCAGTCGTTGTTTACTTCACCAAGCTATTTATGTTCATAAAACATCGATACCGAGCCTAGTCATTTATGGTGAAACAGATTCTGTTATCCCCCGAGGTCAGTATACCATTCTTTATTTTGAAAACTTATTCTTACTGTAGATCAACTAACGTACCTTTACTTCTTACCATCTTTAATCGAGAATCAGTTCTTTACATGAAAATAATTAGTGTGAAAGTATTCTGATGACCATTCTTATGTAACCGTAGTGTCGTTTAATATTGGTTAGTCAAAACCCAGGATATGAATCAGTAAGGTGGTCAAATTCTAGACAGGGTTTAGCCGTGTTAATCAGTAATCAGCCTAATTAGCATGATGACTTTACAAGTCTGCTTCATCAGTCTGTCAGACCCAGCTAACAAGTAAAGTCGGAACGTTGAGACGACGTGATTTAATCTTTTAAAGTGAATATGCAGACCTAATATTACCCAGAAACCTCAGTTAAGTATATAAAAGAAATTTACCCTTTTCAGTGGTCATCTGTATACTAATTTCCTCCTATCTAACAATAGTAATATGATTATTATGACATTTACTTAGAGTTGGAGACGGCATCCCAATAAAAGCTCTGAGTTTATTAACGCGACAAGGGACTCGCACCTCATACATTTTAGTATGTCGTCTTTACTCAATTATGTGTTGTATATTGTTGAAGATATCCAGCTTCAGGTCAAAACATGAGCATCAAACCAGTATTAATTGGGTTGGAACCCTATTACAGTAAATTATTCAGTATGAACACTATCCACGGAATCCCGATACAGTTTTACAGTGTTTTGTGTATATGACAAATACTCAGGTGTTTTGAGTCTCCGATGTACCTCAATTGTGGGAATGTCGCCCTTACTTTCCAATTCATACCATGAAATGCACCAGATCTTCCATGTTCATAGATTACGCTACTCAGGTATATAAAGACTCCCACTTCTTCCAGAGTTCCTCCTTTAAGTGTGTTTTGGTTGCTGCTCGCTGAATTGTATTTCGGGATCTCTGTAAATGCCTCTATCTGACCTCACTACTTCAGCTGGCATGCCTTCTATTCCCGCTGCCTTTCCATTCTTGATTTGTTGATGCCATTGCCGCTCTACATTGTTAGTGGAGTATCATCTAAGTGAGTTGTGTATGTGATACTTGCATTTATGGTGGGTTCAGTCGAACTAGTTGACTTAAAAGCCCTTCGAATTCCTCTACCCATTTGTTTTGCTGCTACCGAATCTTAGTGGCTGGTTTTCCCTCTTTGTTCCTGACTGAAAATTCTGGTCCATCAAAGCTTCTTTATTGCATCTCTCTATTCTATACATTTCCGCCTATCAATTGTAATGCTCTTCCTGACTGGTTTGCTCCTGTGTTTTTGGCCGGTGCTTGGGCTTTTTCTGCTCCTATTCGGTTGTTGTTGACTGCTGGTGTCTTCTTGTTCTTTCTTTCTTAAGTCTTCCTCAAACTTTACAAAGATCCATTCTTTATTCTAGTGCTTCTTACGGTCCAGCATTTGGCATTTTAAACTTATTGCTTTTCTAATCCTTTTCTAGTTGTTCGCCATGGTAGTTTCTTCTAGTAGATCCTGTAAGACTTGTAACTTGTTTCTGAAATCTATTCCAAATTCACTGAGCTTGTTAGCATCTCAAAGAAAAGCCGTATTAAACATTTTTATTTCTGCTTGGCCGATTGTCCAATTGTTGTTTAGCTTATGGTCACCACCATGTGATGATCTGACCCTACAGCAGCTCCTCTCTTTGTTCTAACACCCTCAATAGACCTTTCGAATTGTCTGTTCATGCCTCTATGATCATCCTAATTTTCCGTAGAGTGGTTCAGTGAAACTCGTGTGTCCTTCTGCATGGATTTGTTATGGAAAACTCCACCACTTATCACCATATTTTTGAAATCACATGGACCTGCCAGTCTCGCCATTCTCGTTCTTATCTTTCAGTCCATGTCCCCCATAATACGTTCACACCTGATCTTTTCCATAGGTGTCTTCACTGAAATGAAGCTACGTCTGAAAGAGGTGATTGAAGAAGTTTCCGTTAATTATAATCGCTAATGGGACACTAGGAATATTTTCACAATTCCGTTCCCTGAAAGCTTCAGTAATATGACACAAGTAAAAACTGTCGAACTCCTTTTAAATATGTTTTATGGTTTATCCGAAAATTGGAGTGCTCTGGATACTCTAGTCAAAATGTACACTTGTCGTAACTCTCCTAAAACCAGTATTAGTAAAGGTAAATAAGTATTCGCATTCCCAATACATACTACCTATCAGAAGGGGTTTTGTGGAGATTTAGTATTTGCATAGTTGAAAGCGTGAGTCAATCGAAGAGGAGTCCATAATAGGACGAAACGGCCGTCCAGTGCTTCCAGGTTTTCCATGGTGGTCTAGCTTCAATTGACTCACGCTTTCAACTATGGACATACTACCTAGCCCAAAGTCTCTACTAGCCCCCAAATGCCCTGGTACGGCCGAGAGTAGGGAGAGTCCGCTCTCCCTCTCGAAATGCTCTCACATGACCAGCGAATATATAGCCTCCGCCAGGGAAGTCCTACTCACTGCCTTCTCGTGGCATTACTGTTGTTTACGAAATTGAGAGGACGAAAAGCGAATGTCCGGCGCTTTAACCGGGTTGGTGGATGTGGAGGATCCACCTAGGGGAGTTGGAAAACCCTGATTCCAAACCAATGGTGCACATGGGCTCCAGTATCCTGAGGGAACAAATAGCGTACGAATCAATCGTTGATCACCGGCTACCATGGGACTGCATCTCCTCACGATGCTCCACTGCCTTATGGATCAGATCTTTTGGTCAAAGGCTCCGGGTGTGGCCCCCTAAGAAAACCACGTGCTTCAGTTCGGGCACCTGGGCAGTATCACAGCCCTCAAGCAAATTGAATGAGATTTGTATGGCGCATATGTATCTGGTGTTTCCTTGTACCAATATTTATCTGTTTAAATAAATAAATAGCTCTACTATCGAGATAAGTTCAAGGTGAAAACATCGAATAAATGACTATTTCTAGTCTCCCGGCGTTTATTAGTTAACCTGTGTGTAAACAAAAAGGAGTAATAAAGCTAGAAATAATCATGGTAGGAAAAGCATTTGAGGTATCCCTTTTTGCAATATTTAATTTTTAAGGAGGATACGGTACCATACTTCTTGTCTCTTATGTTACATTTTTCTACATCTTGTTTCTTAGTAAGTACTCTATATTTGTAAATTCTTGAATCTCTAACTTCGTCAGTTTAGATAGTCGAGCTGATTGGATATCTAAATTATTAAGGTTGTTTCTTATGTAAAACTTTTTGTTTGTGTTTACAGAAATGTCTGAGGAAGCACTAAATGTATTCGTATCTAAACCAAAAGTACTTGTACATGACGGCGGTCATTACATTCCTACACACGCTGATGCAAAGAAAATATATGCTGATATGGTTTCACAATTTATAGAAAAACATTTACAACTTCCAGAATTTAGTTCTCATCATCCTGTACCTGAAACCTCATTTTCTATAGATTAATTTTTGTAACGCTGTAACGATTTCTTGTTAATCCAAATAATTTATTATAAGTGGTGCATTTTTCAACAGTTAAAAACGTAAATCAATTTATCAAAGCTAGCACATGGTTAGGCACCTTGTTTTTGATCTGCTTTAGTACCTTACCGAATTAAGTCTGTAGACCTGAGAGTACCGTATAAGTAGACAGTAAACATTGGAGTAGGTAAATAAGGTTAAGACTTTTAACCAAGTGCTCTGACCACTAGCTTATCTCGTCATCGAGTTAAACAAGTCAGTTGTCTGAAAGATCCATAGAGGAGCATTAGTTCAAGTCATCACACTCAACTTTGGTGAGAAAGTATAAACCACTTAATAAATGAATAACTTTGTTTCAACAAAATGTAAACGTTCTCACATTTCTGATTCAGGCGTTTAGAAAATCAAGCATCTCTTCACAGTCTTTTAAAAGGATCATATCAGAAAATTCCGGTATGAAGAAACAACACCATATGAGTTATAGCCATCTTTATCAGTATATCTGTGACAGCTGACCACGACAAGGAAGCTTGTATTTAATCATCTTAGAATTCTTTACTCTATGACAAAATTATCCACTACTGATGTATCTATAAAACAATAAAATAAGGTAGTGTGATCTGATTGTTAGCGTTTTTTAGCGAGTTAGTTTTCTACGAGATGGGGTCGCTAACCCCATGCCTAACCCTCCTTGTTTATCCGGGCTTGGGACCAGCAGCAGCCTTCGGAGGGGCTACAGGCGGAGTTAGGTTAAACATATACATTATCGAACCTTTGATGCATGCAAAAAAACAGTTTACTCACTATTTCTCTACTGCTTTACCATATGTCATTAGCTGTTGATAGTATATTAGCCCAAACCGACTGACTGTATTTCTATAACCACAGCTATTTTAACTCATTAGTTATGATGATTCAACTAGACAATAATGTGAATTTTCGATCCTATGAAGACAGCTCTTCATAGTTATGTTGTTATTTGGGTTACTTGGTTTACAATCTGAATCTGTCAACTATGTGCTAATCTTAATGAAGTTAAGTGTTTCAGTATTTTCATGTTTAAACTTCGTTACCTCTTTCATTGTCTAATCATTTTCAGTGGATCCCTAATGTTATCTATTGTTGATGTTTCAAAATAAATAAATAATTTAATGTTGTGAAATTATTAATCATCAATTTATGTAAAGATTTATTTTGGGAATTCATCGAAATGTTTGTCTCTTTCGTTTGCAAGATATATTTTTTCATTGACACATTGACAAATCTCTTTAAATAGAGTCTCAATTCCATTATTGCTATCGAAATAATCTAGTAAAAGGAGAAAAGAACAAGATTAGTGGAAAATCACTCTGGACATTCAAGCACAAGTGGTAGAAAGTACTAAATATTGATTTAAAGCCTAAAACCGTATAGGCCATAATTGTGTTTCCTCTAAGATTAAAATAATTATAATCTTCCGGTGTATGAAGGCTCTTGTACCTATGGGGTATTGACTCGATCAGTCAGCTACAACTTAGGACCAGGCACATATATGCATCGGTCCAAGTTACCATACCTCACTCATTAACACAACAAGATGAACACCAAATTCATAGTACTTACTTAATTGGTAGTAACATATAAAAGAAAGATTGATTATCAGTATATAATACAGGAAGAGAGAAATAGTTCGTATAAAGATATTTTAATCTCACGGTGTAAGGGAAGACAAAGAGTGTATACACCTACGCTATTGTGTTCGATTCTGAGCCATGTCACCCAGAGTCTCCAAACATTGGTTACGATAGTCACGCTGACTGTGACTGTGGTATTTAAAAATGTGGCTTTAGGTCACTATGGAGATAAAGTTTGTAGCCAAATGTCCTCATTATCCATCACATTGCAGTACCAACGGTGTTAATTTATATAGCTAGTGTTCTACAGTGAAGATGATCTTGTCGTATTGCGTTTTTTGCCGTGGCAGACTAATGCCATCTCTCTAGCGACATACTATAAATTAACAACATTGAAATGTGAATGCTTTATTTCACTTGTAAGATCTGGTTAAATTTTCTCCAAACATTTTACTTAGCTCCACTTCACATTGTTTAACACTTAAATACCTACAGTTCAAAGTTATAGAAATGTGTATAGAAAAGTTCCTTTTAGTTCACACATTTGTTAAAAAATCCAGGAAAAGTCCCTTTTAGACTATATCGTTATATTGAACCCAGTGGTTGTCTAGTTTCAACTAATAACTAATTTTGGAATGTTAGCTTCCACTTTGTCTTGATTAAAAATCCTGATTTGTGGATCGAATTGACTGATATTATTCTGAAATAAATAGATATTCTTATGGCTCACAGTTGATTATGGGATTGTGTCTTTGTTGTTTGAAACTGTTGGGGATGTCAAATCCCCAGAACTTACTTGACAAGTAGCTTAATTTTGGAAATTTGAATTTAGCCGTTTTCGCGCCAAACGCGCTTTTTTTTTACCTTCACGTCATATTTCCCACTTGTAAACTATCTTAAACGCTATTGGTCCATTGTTTCTTTGTGTGTGCTATTTATCAATGATGCCCAAGGACAATTTGCTGCTGTATATATACACTTGACTTTTTCCCTTATTTGATTGCTGTGCTTCTGGCTGCTACGGAATATAACTTCCCCGCTTCCAACTTGGACTTCTTACTCTAGTTAGCTGGGTCTATGTCGCGTTAGAATAGCTAGCTTATCGGTCCCTGGTCACGTGTCTTTGTTCCGTTCGCTACTAGTGAATTCGTAACGCTTCAGATATAACAATTGGCGACGGGGACAAAAAAAAGTGAAAAATGACGCTCCCTTCCGATAGATTACAATTGCTGTTTGACCGACATTTGGAGTTCATGGTCAAATTACGCACACAACTTCTGGATCACCAGTGCTTTGCATATGCGTCTGAATTGGATGGATTAATCTCTGAATTACACACAGAGCTGGCAAATGATCGCAGCCTCCATGAACCCTCGACAAGTTGCAACTTAAACGAAACAGCAATCTCGCAAAACACTCCCGGTTGTCCATCACTATCCATTTCAGAAACGTGCCCGGTAGTGAATTCGAACCCCACTATCCCTGAATTAGCAGGTCCGAACAGTGACGCTTTCAGCTCTCATCAACACGATGCCATGTTAAATGCCCATGAAATTGTCGCACCAACCGCCCACAAAGTACCAGAGACCATATCGAGCAGTACAACGAGCGAATCTCATTCTGCAGTAGAAATTTCTACCGAATCTAATGATCGAAATTCTGAAGCTTTTCCAGAAAATGTGTTACATGCATCAAATGATAATCTAGAACCTAGCGCAGTTTTGATGGACGCTGTTTATCATTGTGTTCCTCAACCTACCAGTGGCGTTCGCAATAAGTCTGATGACTACTCTTCTGCAGAATCAAATCCTGGCCTCAAATCAAATGTTGCCGATCCTCACGACCTAATCAGTTCTAATGGATTCGCTGTTAAATGCGACAAACGTGTTTGAAATGATGTCACATTAATGGTAACTTGGACATCTGAGGATCCAACACTATTTCGTGGGGGAGGAGAGGCTCGGAGAATTTAAAGTCCGGATATCACCTCCGCATTTTTCGAAAAAGGGGTGGTGTTAGGATATTCACAGGAATATCCCAAAAATTATCTCGAATGTAAAGTGGTATGTTTTCAGACTCTTCACATAATTCGCATGTTATTTTCTATTGGTCATTATTTACAGTTGTCCTAACTATGACTTTCATGTGTCGTTTTCCTATTGGTCAATTTTGAGTTGTCCTAATTGTAACCTCTACGTGTCCTTCCTTTCCATTGGTTACTGTTAATAGTCATCGTAACTGTATAAATATGCCTTGTCTGTAAATCATTTTTGACCTGCTTCTGACCCCATAAACAATTCTTACTTAACGGTTGTGTTCTGGTTTATTGGAGTTGGGGAACAATATTGGGGTCGTACTAGGATATCTGCATTTGGTCAACCGGTAGAATTTCGTGTAGTCTTATCGCAATACGCAATATCTCGCGACATAACAGAAACCAATATAATTCTTGAGGTAGATTAGATGTGCACAAAGCTTTTATTTATACTAAAACATACTTTGAATGCTCTTTAGGTTTCCGCTCCTGAAATCCACATAAACCAAGAAGTTGATTAAGACGCACGAATTAATGCATAAATATGAATTTGAACTTACATATAGAGTCTTTTGAATACTCTAAGATGTCTAGCGTTCTTAGATATGTTGGCCAAACACATTTAGCAAAATAATTTGGTGGGTCCGGTGTATCATATTTTCTTAGTCTAAAGAAAAATGTAGTTTCATTTATTTAACTACCTTGCACTGTTACACAATCAAAGCTTAAGTAGTTACAGGTTTATCAAGTACATGTAATCAAAGACACTACGAGGTGGGACATTTGTGATGAGCTTATTACAAGTAAGTATTGACGATGTTTTCCAATTTAGGCGCAATAACCCTCTTTAGGTTGTGAAATATCGAGATTCTCAGACGTATTGTATGATAATTAAATCTGTGCGAAATCTTAGTTACTTAACAAGAACCTTAGTTCATTATTTCAATAATTGTAAATAGAGAAGCTGAAGTTGCCTCAAGATAGAAAGTTGTTTTATAATCGAAAGAGCCAATTGTACCAATGAGAAGGACTCATAAATTGTTTGCTGTTGATACCAAGAATATTATAATATTTTACCTTCGCAGACGCCCATCATATTCAAACAGTGATGTATAAACCAAGGGTATTATTTTTCATTGACTATTCAATTCCTACCGCTCTATCGAAAGGACGACCAAGTATAAGGCGAGAACATCGTTTAAAATTGTAGTATGTGAATTAAAGATTCTTTATGAAATAAAATATAATTGTCAACGCTGAAATAACTAATACGCAGTGTAAACGTGGACACATTATATAAGTTAAATAAAACTGAACCTATTAACCCAAATAAATATGGATAGCATTAGAGTGAGGGAAATAATTATGTCATCACAAATCATTTCAAATGCTAAATGAATGACTATTTGATGTGTGCGGCTAGTCAAGTTCATTAAAAATAGTAATATAGACTGTGATCTAACTGATTTATTTTCGTTTAGGAGAATAACAATGATACTGAATCAATCATAATGATGTATTCATAATATCTCAATCAGTAGAAGATAAAATTCCTGACGTTTCGTGTCTCCAGTGTACGCCAGTTCAAAACATAAGAAAAAAAGGAGTGGCTAATACAGTTACGAAATGTCGGAAATTCCATTTCTTACTCATTATGAACAATCTATCGAATGCTCAATTCATCTGAGGTTATCAAGTCAAATCCTGGTAATGATAAGGACAAATAAAAATTATTACAGTACGAAAATATGTGGATAAGAATAATGAATATTATATAAGGATAAGATTAGTTCTAAGTTACAAAATTTAGAAGTGAGGTGAGTGCATAAAAACTAGTCAATTTAGTTCAAAATATAATAGAAATTTGTTTAGTCTGGTTGACATTTTCTTGGCAAGGCTTTTTTCTACACGATGGGGTTGCCGACACGTGACCAAACCTCCTTTACCTAGGCTTGGGACCAGCAGTAACTCCAGAAGAACAATAGGACCTGATAACATACCACCTGGAGCAAGATATAGGGGTAATTACAAATATACATCAAGTCCCAACCACAACGATATGTGAGGAACAACAAGTGTCACCGACAGACTGGAAAGAAGGATATCTCATCAAGATACCAAAGAAAAGAGATCTGAGCGAATGTGAGAATTAAAGAGGCATCACACTTGTCAGCACCAGGAAAAGTTTCCAACAGAGTGTTGCTGAACCGGATGAAAATATTCACTAGACATCTAAATTTGAGATCAACAGGCTGTATTCCGTAAGGATCGGTCGTGCACAGACCGAATTGGGACACTACAGATCATCGTTAAACAATCAGTTGAGTGGAATCGTCACCATACAACAACTTCATTAGTTGTAAGGAGGTGTTTGACAGTGAAGGCTCTTTATTCGAACACTACCAGTCGAGTGAGGGCTTAAGGCGATCTGTCATCTGATTTTACAACCTCAAGTGGTGTTCGCCAAGGCTGTCCACTATCCCCATTTTTGTTTAACTTCATTATAGACACATTTATGGAAATAACACTCTCGTCGACTGAATTTTCAGGAGTTGATCTCCTACCAGGAAGTCCACTTATCGACTTAGAATATGCAGATGACATAGTCCTGTTTGGGGAAGACGCTGACAAAATGCAGAGTCTTCTGCTGGAACTGAGTAATAATGCCAGGATGTTTGGGATGCGTTTCTCCCCATCCAAATGTAAATTGTTACTCCAGGACTGGTCTGCGTCAACACCTGAACTAAGGATAGGGAGCGAAGTAGTCGAACGCGTGGACAACTTCACTTATCTTTGAAGTCTCATCAGCCCTACTGGTTTGGTATCTAACAAAATCTCAGTACGGATTCAGAAAGCTCGTTTGGCTTTTGCCAACTTATGTTACCTATAGTGAGGACGAGATGTTCGTCTATCAATTAATGGATGAGTATACTGCGCAGCAATTCGTTCTGTTCTACTTTACGGCTGTGAAACATGGCCATTAAGAGTAGAAGATACTCGTAGGTTACTAGTATTTGACCACAGATGCCTTAGAAATATTGCTCGCATCTGCTGGGATAACCGGGTAAGTAATAATGAGGTTAGATACAGGGTATTAGGGGATGATGGTAAATCAGTTGATGAGGTTGTGGATCTTCATCGACCGAGATGGTTGGGCCACGTGTTACGTATATATATATATATATATATATATATATATATATATATATATATATATATATATATATATATATATATATATATATATATATATATATATATATATATATGTTTTCGTACAAACCTTGTTAACTTGTCTGTCGTCATTCAAGTGTCAAAAGATAACTATCCCTGAACTATAAATTAAGTTCCCTAATTTGACTGCACATCAAGAACATTACTACTTAAATAACATAATATCTTATGCTGAATCTCAAAACTTAACGCAATATCTATTGTTTGCATTCAAAGTAAAAGTCGCATAATTTTGTTCTCTCATTTATGTATCCACTAAAAATGCATTAACTGTAACAAAAAACTTACTTTCGTCTCTGCAACATATTTTCATAAGTTATCTTCAAAAATATCCTCAAATCCATCATATTCCGAAGTTCCCTGTATTCAAGCACATAAAAGTTTTGATACTATTTCTCAAGTATGGAAGTTGTTTTAGACACTGAACGAATATATATATATATATATATAATGGTAGCCTGTGGGTGGATTAAAAGGCTAGAAATACCCAAATCAAGATACGGTATCATTTTGTGGGTTCATTGGCTTTTGACTGAATGGTGTCAAAGGTTCCAGTATGCTTGCTTAGAGGCCACTCGACAATTGTAATTAATGGATGGAGAACCTAAGTGTTTGTGTTAAGAGTCGGCCAATTTAGGGTGTATTTATTCTTTACCTTCCGCTAAATCTTGACCAGTGAGAACAGCTCATTAGTAACGTCTCTGACGGTGAGATTTGCTAACACTAGCTAGTCGCATGGGAAGTATCACTTTTCTTTTGGTTTTAAATGTCTTTTGCTAACGAGCTCCAACAAATACGGAAAGTAGTCTCAGGGATTCCAATCGATTGTATCTAACCAAGTAACATCGTAACATTATGGATACGATTTAAAGTTACTTAAGCTAGCGGTCGTATTGCGACTTGGTAGATAGAATTCGATCGACAACCATAATACTGGTTATTACTAAAGGACCAATCAGAATAATGATCTTAGTCAGTGTATGTTTTCTATTCCTTCAGTCACTCATAAAATGGAAATAACTTCTACACAAATGAAGAGTCCCGACGCTATTTAGTACAATAAAAAAACAGTTGTCATTTTGAGTGCAGATTTACATAAACTTACATTTTATTCATTATCAGTATTCCTTCAATTATAAGTATTCTTATTTTTTCTCCCAACACCTGTGATTCAGACCATAATTTCATAAAAGTAATTATGCCTTCCCAGTCAACCGCTGATTCACCTTGAATAAAAATACATAATAGGTTTGTCACTGAAATAACTGGTACAATCACAGAATATTTAATAAACGATGTTTACAAGACAACATTATTCCGAAATCTCTTTTTGTAAAACCTCCAGAACGGTCCTGGAGATCCAGACTTCTCATCTCGAATATTTTTATGAGAACTCATTTACAAATGCACATATTTACTTGAAAAATATCGTGAACGAATCAAAAACCTAGATGATCTACTGAAGGTTTTATTTCCTACGAACTTACAGACCACGATTTCTAACCTGTTTATAAAAAGAGAATGCCGTCATTTAGATTTATGACAACGTCAGCAAATTAAAAAATTTGAAAAGATCGAAGAAAGATAAGGAAACGACAGCAATAAAATCTAATCCGAATGATCTAAGGATTGTTCATAATTTGTCATACAGAAACTTAATCAATCATGACATCACTCTACTGGAGAAAGGATTAAATTTCAGTTTTCATAGAAAAGCACTTAGTACTCTTGAAGCTGCTCCAACTATAGAATCAATAATCGCACAACTACCGAAAAAAGAATCTAGAAGCATGAAGTCATGGTAAGCTTTGATGTCGTCTCTTTATACACTAGTATTCCTATTGATAAATGCTTAGACTTCATTAGTGGTTTACTAGAGAATGACAATACTCTTTCTGAAAGATGTCCTTTAAGCATCAGTCTTATCACGTGATCCTTAAAACTCTGCTTGAATTCGACTCTATTCACTTTTAACGGGATGTTATACAAACAAACTAGTGGTGTAGCAATGGGATCCCCCATGTTCCCCATTGTAGCCAACCTTTATATGGCACACTTAGAAACAAATATTTTCGCCAACGACATTAAACCACGAATTTGGCTTAGATATGTAGATGATACATTTGTTATTAAAAAAAGTCTCATCTAAGATTGTTTTCAAGACGGTTAAATACACTTTCATTTCACATCAAATTCAAGAATGTGAATGAAAATTAACATGGTGAGCTACCATTCTTTGATTGGTTGGTGAAAAGAAATGTAAATGGAGTTCTAAATCTATCCATCTGCCGAAAGCCCACACACTAATCGTTATATTGACCTCCATTCAGCACATACTTTCAGTGCTAAAATCTCGTTAGCCTTAAATCTTTTTAGAAGAGCCAACAAAATCATCACTTCAGAAGAGAATAACGAAAAAGAACAAAAGAATGTGATCGGTATCTTCCAATTTAATAGTGTTCCTATGAAGATTATTAGAAGTATATTGAAACAAGACAGTTCAGTACGTAATAATAATAATTTGAATGAAATGCCATAGATTGGTTTTGCGTCACTGCACAACAGAAGGACTCCGAATGATCTTAAAACAACACATTATTAAAGTATATTACAAAACAACAAACACTCTTCGAAATACTTTAGTTCGGTTAAAAGAAAAAATCCCATTCATGTCTACACAGAATTGCGTCTACAAATTAGGTTGTGTCGATTGTGATGCCTTCTATATTGGAGAGTCATCTCGCGAAATCATGACTCGCTCCAAAGAACATATTAGGTACACAAAGAAACCTAATAATTCTGTAGAACTGGATAGACTTCAAATTAAATCGGCAGTAGCAGTTCATGCCATTTTCAACAATCATCAAATTGATCTCAAAAATATCAAAATACTACAAAAAGGCTTTTCCATTTACAAAGAAAGGCGAGTCTCTGAAGCGTTCCATATAATGTTTAATCCTACTGCTCTCAATAGAAAGGAAGGCCTCACCGTAAATCCTACTTGGACTATCTATCCTAGTCACCTAGTTTGATATTATTTACAATTCACACCATTACCTTACAAATTAAACTTTATCCTTTGTCGTTATAAAGGTCACACATTTTTCATCCCTACAGTGCACACATACACACACACAAATTTAAACAAAAAAAGTGGGAAGCAGTGGCCAGTGGAGTTCTACCAGGTCTGTTGTAGAGATATCATCTCACTGAGGACAATTGGTGAACGGTCGCTCAAAATCGTGGATTGGTTGAAGTTAGATATTAACACCATCGGATGCCGGCTCAGTGGTCTATCGGTTAAGGGCTTCGGCTCGAGACTGGTAGGTCCTGGGTTCGAATCTCGCTCGCGAGAGCGGGTTCGTGGATGCGCACTGCTGAGGAGTCCCATAATAGGACGAAACGGCCGTCCAGTGCTTCCAGGTTTTCGATGGTGGTCTAGCTTCAATTGACTCATGATTTCAACTGTGAAAATAAACACAAATATGTCACTTATGAATCACCTTGACCGAAATGACATGACATGATCTGTTTTTTGATTGGTCATATAACATTCGTATTGTTCCGTTGTACTATTTAAACTAGGGTTAATGTTAATTTTGTTATTAATTCTCTGAAGAAGTGGCCTACACTGAGCCACGAAACGTCAGAAAATCTAATTTTTCTCCTTATTGAGATATTACAAATACATAATTTATCTATAACAATCTACCCAATGTTCAATTTATTCAAAATTATCAAATCGAAAATTGGTGATGATACCTACAACTATCTTTTTTGTTTTGAAAAGGAAGATTATTGTTAAGTAGAAAAATAACTAATCGATATTATCAGAAGGGGTTTGGTGGAGATTTTAGTAATTTTATGGAGTTGAGATCATGAGACAATTGAAGCTAGACCACCATCGAAAGCCTGGAATAACTGAACGGCCGTCTCGTTCTATTATGGGGCTCCTCAGTAGTGCAAATCCACGATCCCGCACTCGCAAGATTCGAACCCAGGACCCACCAGTCTCGAGCCAGAGCACTTAACGGATAGACCACTAAGTCGGTATCCAACGGTGTTAATGTCTAACTTCAACCGATCCACGAAATTGAGCAACCATTCACCAATGTCATCAGTAAGTTGATATCTCCCAACAGACCTGGTTGAACTCCACTGGTTACTGCTTCTCACTAGAACTCCAGGAAATCGATATTAAGCTCTCTGCCGTTGAGTCTGTTATGGTAACCATCAAACAAACTAATTGTTGTATAGTCTGTTTCTTGAAGATGTTCTCCCCACTTGCTAATTAACTCAATTTTCTGCTTGTACGTATTTTTTAAAATTTTATTTTTAACTCCTTTACTATTTGTAATTAGTGCTTCTCTCCATCTTTATGAATCATCTGTACTGCGCTAAGCCTCTATGTTTCTTTTTCTATTTTGGTTGATCTAATGATCGATCACTTTAACCTCTTACAAACGCCATATGCAATTAATATTACATCACATTCTGTAAATCAGTTTTAGTTTGTCCGTAATAGTATTGTTTAAGTGCAAATTTAGTAATGACTAAAATCAAAAGTCAAGTCAATGATTTATCAGAAACTGACGTTTCTGTAATTATCTGCAATACACTACAATGATCTGGAATTGCTCGCCGGTGTTCTGTTTTGCAAAGATGATAATAATGATACTTTTAAATGTTGTATCAATCCAAATACAAAGAAATATTTTGTCTGTATAATCAAAAGTCTATACAAGTAGTTCCATATTATTGTGAATTACGCTTTTAACTACTTTCATTAGGATTAACTTTCATATTAGTTTGCCTTTAAATTAGAATCCCAGTTCAAACACTCAGTTAATCTAATAATGATCTACGTTATTTTAAAACGATACTACTAGTAACAATATGAACATTATAACTTAAATTCACTTCGTATTGTTTGTTTGAATCTTCCCATCGATGTTTAGGACCGCAACTGATCAGTCTCTAATTGGCATATGTGCATACTGTGCGTATTGCCTCGATATAGCCTTAATTCACAAGCATTATAAGCAAAGATAGATAGTGGCTAGCAGTTGAATATAGGACGCGCGCCACTTCGTCCTATTTGAGACTCGTCAGCTGGATGCACCTGCATCTGAGAGTTGATGTTCACTATGGGACTCGAACCCAGTACTAAATTAATAAATGTCGATACTCTGTAACATTAAACAAAATATTCACTTTTTAAAGTAAATACAATTACACACAAAAACAGTGTTTAAAGTAGAATAATAGGAAATTATATTTCATTGATTCTAGTCATCTAATACAATTCAATTTCAATCAGTATTCTTTCACAAATAAGAGTTAGTTTGTTAAACCATAACTAACTCAACTAAATCAATGTCTAATGATGAATAATAACAATTCATTCAATGAAAGGATATTTTCGAGTGAGTATCTTTTCAATGGTAAATAACCTCATATTAAATATCATAGTTTATAGGTCTGTAAACATATTGTTTGTTTATATAAGAACTTTCGTCTAAATTAGATCGAATAGTTCCACAGTATTTGGGCGCCGAGTTGATGTAAGACATTAAATAGGAATAATATTGTTTGTTTCTAATCATATGAATTTTGATTTAATATTTTAATGCATATTTGATTTTTTGTAAAAGATTTCATCACTAAATTAAATCATTTTATGAATCAATGAGATATTAACTAGTCATATAAAACCAATCTAAGGAAATATGTAACTTACAGTCGAAATTCGGTTCATTTGTAATAGGATCTCGTATATGACGTTTATCGTTATGAGGCTGAAAATAAACAATTGTTTTCAGTAAATAAAAATAATAAATTTGTAATATCCCAAAGTGTAGAAAAATTAAATTTTCTGAAGTTTCGTGAATCAGAGTAAGCCACTTCTCCAAATGATAAATAACCACACTAAATAACTCAGGTTCAAGTAGTTCTCAGTGTAATATTATTGTAAAGATACACCAAATGTTAAATGTATTTTGACCGTGGCTAGCAGTAGAATCCAAGACTTGTGATTCATCTTACTTCGAACTTGTATCATAATGTTGATGTTTATACTGAAACTATCTATTACCTCAAATGGCAAGAAGCTATACCCTTAGCTACAAAGTGAAAATCATTAGACTTGTCAATTGCAGTCCTCAATGCCAATAATAAAAAACGGAAGAAGTTTTGTGGAGATTTCAGTACTTTTCAAAGTTGAAATCATGAGTCAATTTAAGCTAGATCACCATGGAGAACCTGGATGTAGTGACCAGTGGAGTTCAACCACGTCTGTTGTGAGATAACAACTCACTGAAGACAATTGGTGAACGGTCGCTCATAATTCGTGGATCAGTTGAAGTTAGACATTAACACCATCGGATGCCGGCTCAGTGGTCTGTCGGTTTAGGGCTCTGGCTCGAGACTGTTAGGTCCTGGATTTGAATCTCGCGAGTGCGGGATCGTGGATTTGCACTACTGAGGAGTCCCATAATAGGACGAAACGGCCGTCCAGTGTTTCCAGGTTTTCCATAGTGGTCTAGCTTCAATTGTCTCATGATTTCAACTTTGAAAAATAATAAAAAATTCAAATGATTACATACATACAAAATGTTTATTTATAACAAGATTATTTTCTGGACTATATACATTGACATATAATTTAGATGCATTTCCAATTTTTGTTTATTAGTAGGTACCAACTGAATGCGAAACATATGTTCCGTTCCACTTAGGACTCACTAATTAGGTGTACTTACTTACTCTTGTTATCCCTCGTAGAGGAGCAGAGGTCGCCCACCAGGATTCTCCATCAAACTCTGTCCTGGACAATCTTTTTCAGTTGTTTCAAATTGCGACTCATTCTTTTGATGCCTACCTCCAATTCCCGACGCAGTGTTCCTTGGTCCTTCTCTTTTCATCCCACCTTGAAAATCCCAAGTCAGGGGTTTCTCGTGATGCAGTTTGGTAATTTCCTCAATGTATATCCTATTCACTTCCAAAACATTTTCTTAATTTACTCCTTAGATGGAACCTAGTTTGTTCTCTCCAACAGAAGGCTGTTACTAAGGGTATCCGGTCAGTGAATGTTGAGTATTTTGAGAAGACAACTGTTTTCAAATATTTGTACATTCTTGACGATGGTTGTAGTAGTTTTCCACGTTTCAGCTCCGTAAAGTAAGATTTTCTTGATGTTCGTATTGAAGATTCTCACTTCGATATTAGTTGAGAGCTGTTTTGAGTTCCATATGTTCTTCGACTGTATGATTGCTGTTCTTGACTTGCTAATCATCCCCTTTACATCTGCATCAGACCCTCCTTATTCACAGACGAAGCAGTCCAGGTACGTGAAAATACCCATCATTTACAGAATTTCTCCATCGATTATGACTGGGTTGATGTTTTCTGTGTTGTATATTGAGAATCTTGCCTTTTCCTTTGCGTATGTTGAGACCTATTGATGCAGAGGCTGCTGCCACATTAGTTGTCTTTGTCTGTATTTGTTCGTGTGTATGTTGTAGGAGTGTTAGATCATCTGCGAAGTCCAAATAGTCTTTCATTTGATTCTGAGATGTCCATTGTATTCCGTGCTTCTTCTCAGATGTCGAATCTTTCATAACTCATTCAATCACCAGAAGAAAGAGGAAGGAGGAGAAAGAACAGCCTTGTCTGACTCCGCTCCTCATTTGGAATGCATCTGTCAGCTGTCCTCCATGGACCACTTTGCACTGTAGTCCGTCGTATGAGTTCCGGGTGATGTTGACGATCTTCTCAGGAACTCCATAATGTCGAAGGAGTTTCCATAATTCTCTCCTGTCCACACTGTCAAACGCCTTACAATCAATGAAATTGGTGTATAGTGGCGAGTTCCACTCAACTGATTGTTTAACGATGATCTGTAGTGTCCCAATTCGGTCTGTGCACGACCGATCCTTACGGAATACAGCCTGTTGATCTCAAATTTAGATGTCTAGTGAATATTTTCATCCGGTTCAGCAACACTCTGTTGGAAACTTTTCCTGGTGCTGACAAGTGCGATGCCTCTTTAATTCTCACATTCGCTCAGATCTCTTTTCTTTGGTATCTTGATGAGATATCCTTCTTTCCAGTCTGTCGGTGACACTTGTTGTTCCTCACATATCGTTGTGGTTGGAACTTGATGTATATTTGTAATTACCCCTATATCTTCCTCCAGGTGGTATGCTGTCAGGTCACTTTAATTTCCCACCCATTAATTTTCTGATGACCATCCTGATTTCTCCGACTGTTGGTGCAGTGACATCTATAGAAAGGTCTGTATGTGCTTCTTCAATATCTGGTGGATTCAATGGAACTGAACAGCTAACAGTTCCTCGAACCATTCCACCTATCTGTTCCTGTTTTGGAATTTGAGGGACTGGTTTGCCTTCTTTGTCCTTGACTGATTGCTGTGACATAGTAGGTCTCGGTATACGCCTCCCAAATTGATTCCAGTACAAACATATTTCCAAAAAGTACTACAAGTGATAATGATCAACTAATGAGAATAAACTATTAACAAGCTGTTTCTTTAAATCACATTTTCAAAATATTCGATTATTGTTTCAAAACCAAAAAATATTTAATTATTGGCTTTTTCAAGACTTGATTCAATCATTATCTGAAAATAACGATTGAAGTTGGAAAATATATGAACTACTAGATACTGAATCAATAGTCCAGAGATACCATAGTCAATGTGAAATATTAAGATCCTGGAATCGGCTCCGTGTGTTCATTAGTAAGTAACCTTGATAAATGACAAAATGTGTAAGAAATTCCATTGGTCTTCAACTCTGCTTGTTGAAATCCCTTTTTGTAAATAAAATATTTTTAAAAAATTAAACTCATTTTTACAAATTATCCAATTGAATAGTAATGTATATTATTATATCTCATATTACTCCTAAGTTTTGTATGTTAATAGACATTTACGAATAAATTAGCAAAGTGAAATAAATTTTTGTTTGTAAGCAAAGATGGATAGTGGGTAACAGTAGAGTCGAGGACTCGCGTTTCGTCCTATTTGGGACTCGTCCGCTGGATGCACCTGCATATCAGAGTTGACGTTCACTGTGGGACTCGAACCCAGTACCTTTCGCTTCAACCGCAATCGCGTTATCTACTTATCTACTGAGTCGTGATGGTCACTTGCTTGTGCAATGGGGTGAAATTAAAATTCACTTAGTATTGTTTGTTTGAATCTTCCCAATAATGTTTAGGACTTCAACTGGTCAGTCTCTAATTGGCATGTGTGCATACCACGTGTCCTGGATTCCACTGTTAGCCACTATCCATCTTTGCTTACAATGCTTGTGAATTAAGTCTATATCGAGGCAATACACACAGTATGCACAAACAATACTAATTGAATTTAAATTTTTTTTGGTTTATAAATTAGGATAAAATGTAACATTTAAATTTCTCACCCAATAATAATCATCCATTTGTAAAGATGTAACATTGTAGCCAATAGATTGTAGATATTCAGCAAGTTTTCCAGTTATTGTTGTTTTCCCAGAATTAGATGCTCTAATAAACAAAGTATTTTAAGAAGAAAAAATAAATCATCCCGCTTTTCACTACATACAAAATTCTAAAAAACTGTTTGAATAACTGTGGTGTTTAAGATAATCGTTTCAATTCATAGAATAGAAACAAAATGGAGATTTTAATAAGATTCAAATGGTTCATACTTTCTTATCATACGGATCAGAGTAAATCAGCTTCTAACTTAAGTCAGTCTTATTTCATATTACTCATTGTCTTATAAACATTAAAAAAACGCATTACCGATCGTAACAACAGTATTATAGCTTTCTAATTTCAATATTATAGAATAATCAAACAACAAATAAATATATATTGAAATACAAAACCAAAATTAAATTTAAATCCTTTCTGAAATACTCCAGGGAAGATATCGGTAATTAGAAATCCAATGTAGAATTTTATAACTAGCATAAACATTTGCTCAAGTTGAATAGAAAAACTGAGTAGTTACAACTTGATAGCTTATATTATTGCTCTAATAATAAAAATGTTGAGTGACCTCAACTTATCAAAGAGGTGACATTGTCGTTAGAAATTATAAGTAAGAAACTTCTACACTGAGTATTAAGCTGGTACTAATGTAGTGAGTGAGAACATAAGTGGAGACAATCGAATGTACTTGAATACAAAATTACAGGACATCTTATTAAAATCTGAGAACCATACAGTTAATACTCCATTTTCAAAATATCAGTCAATCGTTTCAGACTTCATTGTCCCTTCGTTTCCACACCAATCATTTTCTGTTCTCGTTCCCTCTTCTTCGATCCTCTTAACCTTCTGCAACCAGGTATTTCACTTTCGATTGGTGATACATATTACTTATATCCATCGACGCATCACATTACTCCTGAGATTCGAATACATAGTTCAATATCATTATTATAATTGTTATTATTTTATTCCTTTCACAACTAACTCTTAATAGAGGAAAATATTTAGACAATTTGTTTTTTAAGGCTCGTAAATAAAAGTCACAAACTCCTGAAATAGTTACTAATGACTGTCATTTTTACAGTGATCAATTGAATGTCAATGGATATTTGGGACTGAAACCCAAGAGCTTTTGTTATAAGAAATATGAAGCCGTCTACTAGTTTTTTCATCATTTATAAATACTACTTGTTACTATCCTAACATTTTGCACTAGAAGTTGACACTCTAACATTTAAAATCATAGTTTTTGGTGTATTAACCAATTAATAAGTAATATAACAATCTTAGATTGTCAAAATTTAAGTGTCGAACTAATTTTATTTGAATGATGGCTACTGATCCAAATAATTTGATGTCACAATGCGGCTGGCAGACATCTCTTCTTGGTGAATTTTATGCATAAATTTAAAACATATAACTTTGAATTCTTGCCAAATAGCATTAGCCTCGGATTACGATACTCATTAGATGTAAATATTAATTGTGTTGGGGGCGTATTAGGAATCCAGTAAATGCTCCAAGTAAATCCTCACTACAAAAAATATATACTAAGCATTCAATTACTTGACAGCACTAAAGTTTTATTAACAATGGTCATAGTTCATTTCAGTAAGGAGTCCTAATTCATTGTCAACTTTTTCAATTACCATCCATAAACGTTTACCTCGAACTAACGGTTATGAAAAATATAACTGTCAGTACATTGATTAAAAACATTCATTGAGTGTTAGAGTAATTACCCCGCTATTCCGATAACGTACTGTCTTGTTAGCGTGTCCATCTATAATAGTTAAAAAGAAATTATAGAATTTGATTTTTTATATTAAAAAGGTTCGCCTATTGACAACAAAAACTTGAAATAATATTTTTTTATTTCATAAGAATTAGACAGTAGGGAACCTAGATGAAAGTTAAACATTATTACGGTTCGCTGAAAAGTAAACAATATAAAGATATCTGATTCTCACTACTGGCGAAGTCCAACCGAAATCTGAAATCTGGTAACAGAATCCGTTGTTATAACAGTGAGAAACAACTTGTTAGGTGTTAAACGATAAGGATGAACTTTCGCTTTGGACCACATCAATGTGTATCTATAAATTTACTTGCTCATGTGGGGCACGTTTTATAGGCCACACAAAGAGATCTATTTCCAAACGCATCTCGGAACACTATCCGGCTTGATTCTTAAAAGGAGAATGTACAAAGATTACTTGTTCGATACATGAGCATTTAATTAACTGTAGACACATCGTTCCAAAAGACTCTTCTTTTAAAGTAATCTACAGAGTCAAAGGAACCGGATCGAAGGGGTATTGAATCAATATTTTATGCAATGCTGAGGCATTGGCAATCCACGAACTCAAACCTGAACTTTGCGTGCAGAAACGATTTGTCCAAGCTCTCACCCTTGGGTATGTTTCTGATTGTCGTTTTTTTCCGCACATTTATTTGAATAATATCGATAATATCGATTCATTCGCTGAGATTTTACAAATATATTATTCCTATTTAATGTCTTACTTCAACTCGGCGCTCAAATACTGTGAAACTATTCGTTCTAATTTAGACGAGAGTTCTTATATATCGATTTTTTGTTTTGAAAATTACTGTTTTGCATTTTAAACTCTAATCAGTTATTATCATTGCCTTATACAAGTTTTCTTGATTATTCAGCCTATTATTATGACCTTTGTGTTTGTTGCTTTTCTTCTAATTTGTAAATTGGAATATCTGAATCAAAAATTATTTTTTTCCTTACACCATGTTTAGTACGTAACCCCATTTGTTATTTATTGTCGAGAGAAATGAGAAGACAAATTTTGTGAGATAGTACCATTTCGTGCTTTCTCGTCAGTCACATACAAGCAACATGTTATTCGTGTAAATACAGTTTTGAAGATAAGGTCAAAATTTCTTATTTAGCATGACATTCACTCACTAGAACCATGGTAAACAAAGGTCAACGTACAGTTGTTTTTGAACACATAAAGTTGGACTTTTCCGACCAATCAAGATAGCTTCGAGTAGTTTGAGTGTGTGTGGGTTTTGATGACATGTCACAACTCTAAAGGCTGATTTTGGGTCAATTTGATGACCACTCATCATTAGATGTTTTGCAATGGACGAGGCTGGGTTTCTTGATCGATCTTGAGATGACGGGCTAGGTGGATGAATCATGGATTTGATTAACCATCTTGGAATATGTTCCCCTATCCTGTCCTCCAATCGGCGATCTGTCCTACCCAAGTAACTTTCTCCGCAGTTACATGTGAATTGGTAAATACAGTGGGATTTAGACTGAATCGGTCTTGGAGACTTGATAGGGTGAACTGAGATCGATTGAGTTGTTGTGATAAGCCTCAGATTAGCTGCATTGAAGGTCTTTTTTATTGCAGCTGCAGTCTGTTTGGTTGTAATTTTCATGCAATGATCACCCTTGAAAGGTAACTGTAGGTATACTGGTTTCTTGGGCACATCCGTTGCTATCAGTTTCGTCGTATTTGTGTTCTGATGACCAATAAACGTTTCAGGATATCCGTTTAATTTATGCCTTATCAATGCCATATCAAACTAATAAACTTCTGCAACGGTATATTAGAGAGAACGGCGAACCGAACATGGACGAAACTCAACCGGTCGCTATCAAAGACCCGAACGATTTCAGAATTTCCAGAAAATCTCACAGAACGTCTTCATAACTTATCTAACTTCAATCTTGACAAGGTTCACCCAGAAGCTCTTTCAATGGGACTAAACTACAAAGTACCACCGAAAAGAATCGACAAGAATTTGGTGGACGCCAATTTCGAAAACCTCTACAGCCAGTTCTCAAATTTGACTCCAACATCAGCTGAGAATGAGGCATGGTTCAAAGCCAAATTAGTTGATATATCCCAGCAATTTGCAAACACTCCAATCAACCAAAAATCTTGTCTAACGAATGAGCACAGGGAAGCATTGAAGGAACTTAAGAACAATTCCACAATAACAATCTCCAAACCAGACAAAGGTTCCGGTGTTGTAGTCATGAATAAGGAGGACTACATAACCAAAATGAACGTGATCCTCTCAGACTCTGCTAAATTTAAATCAGATTCACAGATCGATAACGTGAAGTTGGTCGAAAAACAAATATGCCGAGAACTACATCTACTCATGCTTCACGGTTTTATCACCGAGGCCCGCTATAAAATGCTCAAGTTCATTGGTACATGCACACCAGAAATGTATGGCTTACCGAAACTGCATAAGCTTCGAACACCTATGAGACCAATTTTGTCCATGATAAATTCACCATACCATAAGCTAGCAAAGTGGTTGAAAGGAATTTTGGATCCTGTTTGTAAACAACTGTCGACACATACTGTCATTGATTCTTTTGAACTTCTCCCAACCTTGGGACACTTGAATATTTCTAATAGTCGGATGTGTTCTTTCGATGTAAACTCTTTGTTCACAAATGTACCTCTCGAAGAAACTGTGGAATTTATTTGTGATTTCATAACTTCACACAACATAAGAATACCCATTCCTACTACCTATTTTCGAGATCTAATTTTGCTGTGCACAAAAAATATAAAATTCTATTTACAAGGTAAAGCATATATGCAAATCGATGGAGTGGCTATGGGAAGCCCTCTCGGACCTGTTTTAGCAAACATATTCATGGGAATGATAGAAAGGCAAGTGAGTCACTTCATTGATGGTATTACACTTTACAAACGATATGTCGACGATATTCTTGTCATATTACCACAGTCTACAGATATTAATCAAGTCAATGATTTATTTAATGCAATTCACCCGAATCTGAAAGTCACTTATGAGGAAGAAAACAATAATGAACTAGCTTTCCTCGACATCCTGCTCCATCGCCGTCCAGACGGATCTGTCAGACGCAGAGTACATCGTAAACCCACCTGGTCGGGACAGTACGTCCACTTCACTAGTTTCTGCCCCATACAATATAAACGTTCTATTGTCAAAAGTTTATTCGCTCGGGCAAGTAGAATCTGCACTGTAGATACATTGGACGACGAATTTAAGTTTATTACTGAAACACTTAAATTAAACGGATATAAACATATTATATTTTATATTACATTACCATTTAGAAGTGACTCTAATAGTCTCATGTTAAGACGGAGACTAAAATTAGCCATAAATAGGACATTCTATGCAGCTCAACTTGTCATCATTGAAAAGACAAGGTCGATGTTTCACCAAAAACCTAGACAGCATATAAGCGATTGTGTCACATCCCATTGTGTATACCAATTTACATGTATGTGCTGAACACGTACATAGGGAGGAGCAATCGTGATTTGCAAATAAGGGTGGTGGAACACATACCTAAATGGCTACAGAACCAAATGAATTCGAATAGTCAAAAAGATCACAGGACAGACAAACATCTTCCTCTATTGCGAAACATTTAGTTGAAACTGGTCATAAGGTTGACATCAAATCAGCATTTGTAGTGTTGTACAAAAGCCTTCAAGGACGTATACTAAGGTTTATTGAAGCCTTGGCTATACGGAAATTGAAACCCCCTTTATGTGTTCAAAAACAATTTGTTCTTACCCTTAACCTACCCTGGTAATGCTTATTTATTATCCAGAGTAGTCATCACTTTGCTTTTGTGTACTTTATTTATTTTCTTACCTTAACCTGTCTAGTTGACCTTTTAATTTTCATATAAAAAATGTCTTAACAAGTATATGTGTGATCAGATTGTTCGAAATGTATTGCGCTAATAATATCACATAATTCTGATAATCTTCGTCTTCTCATTGCATTATCGAAATTTATCAAAGGGACTAATTGTTTTAAATACATGCATAAGACCCTTCACGAGATAGAAGCCAGCACCTTAAGTTTTCGTGTCAATCAACAAGCTGGTACTCAGTGGTTCAAATTTCAAATTCCATTCGATTCATTGTCAGTCAGATTATAAAGTAATTTTATTGACAGCTTACTTCCTGTTCAATTCAATTACAGTAGAAATGATGTGTATAACATTTTCATTTTTACATCATCAAATCATTAATTTACTTTGAAAAAAATAACTCACCACAGAATAAAGCACAAAATTATTTGTTTACCCCTTAATGGATAATGCTTATAAATAGGTATATTATTAATCGACAATAATTTGAATGTATAGTGTGATAAATTTAACAGAACGTTTTATTCTAATGAACAAATAGTCTCTATTATAGACCAGAAGGACAGTCTGTTCACTTAATTAACCAATTTATTTGAAAGGTCAGATGGGTGATATATTTATACAAATCCAAATCTTAAGCATGTGATAACCTTGAATGCATTCAGATAAACTTTTGTCTAATTACCACTTTATGGTTTAATAATAATGTCAGTCATATTGTAACTAAGTACAGTGGAGATTAATAAAACATTATTTACGTGATAAAATTCCAAACAAATATGATAAATAATTATTGTGTACAGTCATTAAGCAATTATAATCTTAGTACATAAAATAAAAAAGTTGTTTGACTAAAAACAGTCCTATCCATAAAAACATTTCTATTTTCAGAAACATATTGTAAAATATCTCACATCTCACTCCTTCAACTTCTAGTTCCGACTTTCAAAATGTTGTAATCTCATGCTTTAGTTGTTATTCATTACTATCGTCTTCTGCAACCTAAGTACCTACTGAAATGTCAAATCAACTTTTTGGTTCCTCCCTGTTCCAGATCTTCTCATACATGGTACTCTGACGAATCACTTGTAGTATCAGTTTATATGTTAAGCCCATATACTTTATTCTAGCTACTGACCAAGCTAATTCACCTATACATTATGAGTCATATTTTGATCTTGTTAATTATTCGCTTATTAATCTTGACTATATTTTTATATGAGCGTATATGTGTACCCTTCGTATCCTATTCATCATATGTCTGTCATTCATTTTTATCTAGCTATAAATATTAATTGACGCTTGCTTTGAGCGAGTTGGCTTCCCCGCCATCTCCAATACGCATTATCTTTCGCTTCGCTCTCGAGTTGGCTTACCAGCTATCTACAATGCATGTCGTTTATGTTTCGCTCGCTAACATTTGCTCATGTGCTTATAACCTTCTGGTTTGCATCATTTATCAATAAAAATGTAGTTACCGCTTCCCTTTGCCTTCTGATTCTATACACCGTTAAGATTGGTATAATAACGGTTATTGAGGTGAGCTATGAACGAAGCACGGCACTACACACTCATTACATAATCCACCTTCATTCTATAATCGCACCTGGTAAAAACTGAAAGTTACATACAATTAACTGGATAATGAGGCCAGTTATTATAGATCCGATATAAATTTATATGGGAATCAATAGCATTTTCTAGATTAATGTAGTTTATAGGTTACTTCAAATCCAGTGGTTCAACCTATGCTATCATGTTGTCTATTCTGTTGACTTAAGGAATTCATGGCAGTTTTTGGTATTTTGACCGCATGAAATCTGCTTATTTATGCTACATTTAAAATCTCAACACTGTTTGCTGTAAACCGTGCTAAAAAAATCTGTCTTCTATATTTTTGTTAAAACAGTCAGTCACCCATGACATGGATTTAAAAGTCTTGATTATTGTAATAAAGTTGGTTTAATATTTTTCGAGCTATTTGTTAATCTTAATTACAAAAAAGGTCTACTAAACACTGTATAATCAAACTTTAGGAAATCTTATCAGTAGAAAGGAATATTTTTACTGAAAATGTAACTTTTATCTGAATATGATTTTCGCTCATTTTAATTTTATCATGTCACAAAATCACAGTATTCAAAAAGACGAACAAAATGAATACTTTTGTAGAGGTGACAGACGGCAAAGAAGACAACGTAAATTTTCGAAAATTGTAACTAACATCGAGTTACATCATTCAAAATCTCCAGTTATTGATTTCTAGTATCCCAAGGACTTTAACTAGCTAGTCTATATCACACAAGCACTATTTGGCTTTATTAACTAACACTATGTATCTAAATAATGTTGTAAATGAGTATTCTATATTTCTGATAGTTTAGTTTCCCTGCACTTATTAAAAACCATAATAACAAGAGTGAATATGGATATACATTTGATGGGAAGTGAAGATTATAACCAAAAATCAATTAATATGAAATTCCAACAATCTGAAGCTCAGTAAGATAATTCTATACAAGTTTATTGGAGATCCTGTTAACAAATATTTTAAATAATAAGTGTTAACAAAGTTAAGTGATCTTTAATTACAAGTACATATAAATTGTTAAATAGGTGAAATGAATGACCACCGTCAATAATACGTGACATGTTGATGGATTCCATTAGCACAGTAAAATGAAATTGTCAAGGTAAATCTCAGAGTAGCATGGATAAAAAAACAGTGTTAATAGTCGTAAAAAGGATAAAGCATAGTATGATTCGAGTACCTTTTTAATACAATAACTAGAAAGTATAGATATAATTCACGATAATTTTTATTCGTATATCTTTTTATTAATTATTTCTTATCCTCATGTTAGCGTGTGTAATAATATCTATATTTCTCATATCCTGTCGAGGTGAAATACTTGACTTTTACGGGAGACATCATTATGAATCTTTTTTAGCCTCCCTAACTTTCTAATCCTGTAAACTTCAGTTGAATTTATCCTTCTTTCTAATATCATTAATTAGTTCATCGATTTTTTTTCTAGATTACCACCTTACAAAGAATAAAAGATTCATGTATATACTATAATCTCTATTGTCATTAGTATTAAATCCTTGATTCATTAAATATTTAATTTAATTAGTATATTGAATGATAATAATAATAATAACAGTGCAAAATGAACTCAAGAATGAAAAGGTCTTTTGATAATAATAATAAGAAGAATAAATCTATTAAATTAAGTAAGTCAATCTATATTTACAATGGAATGAATATGGTAAAGAAATAAATATAGACATAACACCCTTAAGAAAAGTGAATGATCGTAAGGAAAATGTAAATTTTATTTGATATATAACAGCCGAAATATAAAAATTAACAGAAAGAAAATAAAGTAACTGAACAATGATGATAATATGCTATTTTAAAGAAATGAAACAAGAAATTGAATAGAATGTAACAATAAACGAAGCAATACAACAACAGTGAATTAAAGTATTCAGTAAGAAAAAAGACCCGGTTATGGAATGAATATTCAAATGAACTTTCAACTATATTTAAAAACCATTCACAGTTGCCTTTATTTCCCATAGCCTTTTCATGTACAAATTGAATTGTTCATTGATATTTCTCCAACAATTGAACAATATCATTGAAATTTCGGAGTTTCGCTTCATCTAATGCACTAGTACCCCATATTGTTTGACATTTTGGATCAACACCAGCGCCGTACTCCAGTTCTGTTGCTTCTACATTGCTCCTCTCTTTATTGTGAGAATTTTCTTCATTATAGATTGGTGAGATGAGAAATTTAATTGAATCCAATTGTCGATGTGTAACAGCTACATGTAAAGCTGAACGACCTTCTTCATCCATATTCTTTCATGAATAAAAAATAAGGGTATAATTCTATTGGTTTTTATGGAAAACAGTAATAATAATGAATATGACAATAGAACAACGGTTACATCATGGACACAATACTGCTAATAAATAATAAATAAATTTTATGGGATATAACATTTTCTACTCATTTAGTAACAGCGTAACTATCCGTGTAATATGAAACCCACCTTCATATCCTTAAAAACAAGCGAATAAATTGCACAGTGACTAATATGAACGAAGAGATTATCACTATTAAGGTGGAAACACTAGAGTGGGCTGTTAAATTAAAATACGCTTATGTACTTTTGTACGTTAGTTATCCAGCTACTAATAATATATTAAGTAGCATAAAGTAAGTATAACTACTTATTTCACGAGTGTATATTACAAACAATCACTTATTATCACTTCATATCCGCTTTATCACAATAACAGAGAATCACTCATACCATTCCTCAAATACTTGTTATTGTACCTGACTAAGTGATTAGCAATGATCGACAAATATATACCATGTACAAATATCTCGATATTCTTAGAAATTGCTTTTTGGAAATAACTTATAGTAGTGACTGATCTTATGAAGTGTATAACTTCCTATTTTGAAATCACCAGTTAGAAGTAAATGCATTAAGACATTTGGTCATAATGAAACTTATTTTTCTTCCATCTCATTTCTCTCAACACTCGTAACCTTCTGGATAATGTGCAAATAAAAAGTGATAAAATAATGAAAAAAATTATATCAGGCCTTGCTTATATTCAAAAATAAAGGTCTTTGTACTTGACCACAAAAAGTTTGAGGATCTTAAATGACTGTAGAATACAGATGGAAATTTAAAGTGGTTAATAAGGTTGTTTAACCACATTATTGAAATATATAGGGATACTCAATTAAGGAATTCATCAATGACAAATTGATTGGGCAGCAAAATCTTTAAATATCTCAATTCTTTAAAGCGATTTGATAGATGAATATTTGCACCATTTCAGAACTGATTAATTCGAAGCAACATTTAATGAACTACTTAGATATCACAATATGATCCCGAGTGAAAGCTACACTGAGAATACCACTTCCCTGTAAGTAGTTTTTAATAAGACTATTCTTCCTTCATTATAATCATCCACTTTTTGTTAAACAAACTTTTAAAGACTGCTATTGTTACTAACACCTTAATTCATTATGTCTACGTAATAAAAAATCTGACTTACATAAAATGAATATCCACACAATTGATATAAGCGTAACCTTTGAATATCACCATCAGAAACTGCTTGATGAACCAGTTTAGTGACAAGTTGACTTTCAGAATTTAATACAGCGCCAACATCTAATAATAACTGCACCAATTCAGAAGATAAGATTAGACTATTTAAAGCACAAAGAAGTGGAGTATATCCATTTTTATCTGCAATATGAACTGATACACCACATTCTAATAAATATTTTGTCGCTGAAATATGACCGTAGAAAGCTGATTTATGCAGTGGAGTACATCCTTCAGTGTCAAATAACTGAAAACAAGAAAACCAATAATTTAAAATGGATAATTTGTAACATGTTAAAGTGAACAATTCGGTTTTATTGTTCAATTCCAATGATTTACCAATTTAATATTGAGTTAAAGTTGAAATCTATGGTACGTAGAGATCAGACTTCAGACTTTAAACAAATTAAGAAACGGTTAGCAGAGATGGATAGTGGCTAGCAGTGGAATCCAGGACGCGCGTTTCGTCCTATTTGGGACTCGTCAGCTGGATGTACCTGCATCTCAGAGTTGATGTTCACTCTGGAATTCGAACCCAGTACCCTCGCTTCAAACGCAGTCCTAACAAATCGATGGGAAGATTCAAACAAACAATACTAAGTTGAATTTAAATTAAGAAACGGTTTAAGAACTTTTCCAAGTTTATCCTATATCTGTTTTAGCAACAGTTAAAACTTCATTGTCCAAAGGGTCATAATCAATATCGATCACAAAAACATGATAATCTTTACTATATAGCAAATGAAGTATACTAAAGTACCATTAGGTTGATTTAATCTCTTTTAAATGACTTTGTTCAGAGAAGTAATAAGGTAACCTAAAAAAACGTCCAACAAACAGATCAAAACTAATTCTGAGAGTGAATCATCCCAATTTAGATGTTAATAAAAAAAAATCTTTTTTATAAAAAAAACATCTACGTTCTGGATGGGAGCTTATGTAGCAAGCCCATTCAACTACTGTACTTTTTGTGTGCTCTCTGTAATCCTAACATTAATCCACTTTGTAAATTTATGTGAGTCTGATTGAGCGCATGTGTCTGCACATCAATCCTTAATCTGTTCTCTCATTGGTTGTAAACAAGGTCAATCAATAATTTATCCACAATCCATTAACACTCATAAATATATATGGATTTTTACCACTCACACACACACACACTTGTTTTCTCTGTGTGCTTGCTTTCTGTATGCTTGCGGATTTTTATCGAGCTTCAACAATAAACTATCTCTATAACTGGTGTTCAGGCTTTTGAATAATCTCGAGTAAATGCGTAATTTTCCTAGGAGATTTAGCCTGCAGTAAATATTCAGTTAGCAGGATATTATTTATCTATTGGAGTCAGATATAGAGGAATTAATCTTCTATAAATTCTAATAATATTTGTTGAGATATACATTGAAGAGATTATCGACAATTAAATACCGTCATAAATTTTTTTCAAAAATCTTTAATTGTAAGTCTAATCTACCTTAACCGATAACAGAAACCTGAAAAGTATTACGTTTAGGTTTGCCTATTTTGTACAGATAAAACAATGAGACTTTTTCTAACCCAATTTAATAAGTAGAATAGCTGTAAAAATAGATTAGAGACAAGTGATCAATTTGTAAATGGTGTAAATAAATAGAATATCAAAGGTAGAACGTGAAATGTTAGACTTTAAATGAAATGAAATCGTAATTAAAACTAAATTGTTTTGAGTAGAATATCTATAGAATATGTCACAATTACAAGTCCGGTTATCTATTCCTAACTGTGATTTCCTAGCTGATTTCCTGAAACAGAACAAGTTGCCTTAAGGTTGTGTGAATATGTTGTTGGGCAAAAGACTGTGTTTATCACTTACTGTCATTAATCTCCAATCAACAAAGTAAATTATCCTGTGTTAGTTGTACACGTATACATCAGTAAGATGGGTATTTTAAAAGTAATATTGATTTTCTTCTTCGCATAAGACAGGAAGAAGTATCAGTTTGCATTTATTTTCAAATCACTGTTGGGAGTTCTACGAAACACTAAGCCTAATTTGATACTCTTCTTGAACAAGATAATAACTTGATCCATGAAATCGTGTAAAATGACTATATTATACTGTGACTTTTTAATCATCATACATAAGTTCGAAAATCTTCGCTTCAATTAATATCTACTTGAAATTAAATCATGTTCATCTAGATATTTAAAGTAGGGTAATAGTAGAAGACAGAGTAGCAGAGGAAATAGGAAGATAATAATAGTTTAAATAAGGTTTATACAACAAACCACTGGTTAATATTATTCATCATTTTGATTCTCTCTAAATATTCGGTATCCAATCAAATCAACTTACAATGATAAACACGTATCCCAAGATCAGTAACGTTTTACCCAGTTAGTCATTCATTTGTTCACTTATTTACTAATCGACAGGAATTTTCTGAGTAGGAGCATATTTTAGTAAAAACTTGTATCCAACTGTACTTTAGCTAATTTTTCCAGAAATATATAAGTATTTTGTTTTAAAGAATAATTGAAATGAAAATAATCCCAGTAATATTTTTTCTCTGTTTTAAATAGTTGAATAATAAGATATACCTGTAAATGGCCAATTATATGATACATTTCTTTTAAACATGACAAATTATTTGATGCAGCTGCACAACACGCAAGTGTCGGTATTATACGTTGAACCCACATTGAGCCAATACCTTCAGAATCATCTAAAGAAGTTGTTGAAAATAATTTGGCGAAATATATCATAAGATTTCTATCTTGATTTAAACAATTTGTGTTATATAGTGATAAATTAGCTGCTCTAGAGTCTTCTCCTTCAACTGTGACTTCACCTCTTAAACTCTTTAATAACATTGCACGTTTACTAGAATAATCTTTATTTTCTGTTTTACTCAATATATAGGCCAATTTGGTAAGTGCTGCTTCAGTTGTCATATCCTATATTAACAATAAATAATATGATAAAAAATAAAATAGGAAATATAGAATAAATTAGTTGACATTATGAATTATTATTATTATTATTAATATTATTAATGGCTTTATTCAATATTGTAATCTGGCACAATATAGAATTCTCAGCACGAGTTAATTCAACAAGTTTTTTTACCAAAATTTAAAAAAAAGCAGAATAGAAATAAAAAAAGGTTTAAGAAAATCTGAGTTTATACAAATTATCGAATTTGAGACATGCTTAAGAATACAGGTTATTTACTAGGTCAACTCTAACAGCCTGTTCGTCACAAAGTAAATTTGCTAGGTAAGGTATTACAGAACTTTTATAGACTTGTTTGCGTGTATGGATTTTAATGTATTTACTGTATTTATTTAATGTACTGTTCTCTTCCAGAAAGGTAGGAACATAGCCAATTGTTTATCCAGCTGTCAGTGTCGACGCTGATCAGCTTGTTAAGTAAGAGGTGTCTTGGAATAGAATCAAAAGCAGAAGTAAAGTCCAGGAAAGAGCATCTAACATACTTCTTACCCTTTTCCAACCCGAACACTATATTTTGATGCAGAACAGCAACGGCATCTAATGTGCTTCTTTTGCATTTATAAGCAAACTGATATGGATCACAGTGCTCTTTTATTGCAGGTTGAAGTGGTTGTATCAGTAATTTTTCCATTATTTTGAGGAAAGGTGAAGTTATTGCAATGGGTCTAAGTTTCACATTTTTATCACCAGAAGCTTTCTTTGGTATAGGGATTATCTTTATCTTTCTCCACATTTTCGGTAAGACATTAGTTGAGAAGGATCTGTTAAAGATATTCGTTAATGGATAACATAAAACATCAGCTCATTTTTTAAAAAGAAGGTTTGGGATACCATCAGGTCCTAAACATGAGGATGAATTGAGTGACTGGAGACATTTCTGGACATCATTTTCAGTGAAACTGGGAACACAATTATTCTTCAAACCCTTGGATATAGGAAGCATGATGTCAGATGACTGAAGTATAAAGGACTTATTTAATTCACAAACATTCAGCTGGTTCACGCTTGCAATCTGCCTGTCACCTGTAAGTTCTTTAAAGAGTTTCCACATACTTGGAGAGCTTTTACAAGACAGGAGTTTCTGAGTAAACACAGAGTTGAGACGTCTAATCTCTAGGCTTATTTGACCATTTAACTTACGAACTTCAATAGTGTTTTTCTCGTTGTACATCCTTTCTTTCACCCTCCGTAGTCGTTTTAGTTGTGGAGATGTAAGTCGATCAAAACTTAAAAAGAAGGTTTCTTGAATTGTGATGACACCACAATTACGATACATGTTTTGACTTAGCAGAAATTGGAGATAGTCCACCTTGTTGATTAGTGATCGACAGTTAGAGTTAAGCAGCTCGGGAATCGACATTTGATTAATGTTTATTCTCTCTAAAGCATATTGCCAACCACCACGATGTCTCTTATTGTACTTGTTTGTAATTTTTGCAGCGAAAGAACGTAAGCTTTTTATAAACGCGCCTGTATAGGTTATGCGATCAATAGACATAATGATAGGTTAAAACAAATTAAAAAAGCCCAGATAACTTGTTGAGATATTTAAATGGCAGAAACAGGTAGCCCTGGTATTCAAGCAGGCCGCCAATAATTATGTCTATATATATATATATATATATATATATATATATATATATATATATATATATATGTATATATGTATATATATAGGTGTAGTGAACGAGAACAAAGTTAATGTTTCATATAAAATTACTCAGTGTCTTGGTAAAATATGGAAACTATATATTAAAAATAATTTTGAATAAATTGAGCACTGGGTAGATTGTTATAAATATATAATATATTTCACAGTACTTAATTCCTTGAAAAAGCTTGGACCAGATTGCCAGGCGAAACGTTGGATTTACTACAAATTCATTCGCTGAGATTTTACAAATATATTATTCCTATTTAAATAATATATTTGTAATATCCCAATGAGTAGAAATGTTAGATTTTCTGACGTTTCGTGACTCAGTGTAAGCCACTTCTTCAGAGAATAAATAACCAAATTAACATTAATCCAAGTTTAAATAGTACAACGGAACAATCCAAGAGTTCTAGGTGATCAATCAAAAACAGGTCTGAATAAATCAATGTCACGTCATTTCATTGCGGTTAAGGTGATTGATAAGTGACATGTATGTAATTTTGTTTGTATGTGTCCACTGTAAATGATGAAAAATGTGTGACCTTTATAGTGACAAAGGATAGAGTTAATTTGTAATGTAATTGTGTGAGTTGTAAATAATATCAAACTAGGTGACTAGGATAGATAGTCCAAGTAGGATGTATGGTAAGGCCTTCCTTTCTATTGAGGGCAGTGGGATTAAACATTATATGGAAAGCTTCAGCTACTCTTCTTTCTTTGTGATTGGAAAAGCCTTTCTGTAGTATTTTGATGTTTTTGAAATCAATTTGATGATTATTGAAATTGGCATGAACCGCTAATGCCGATTTAATTTGAAGTCTATCTAGTTCTACAGAATTATTAGGAGGTTTCTTTGTGTACCTAATATGTTCTTTGGCGCGAGTCATGATTTCGCGAGATAACTCTCCAATATAGAAGGCATCACAATCGACACAACCTAATTTGTAGACGCAATTCTGTGTAGACATGAATGGGATTTTTTCTTTTAATCGAACTTAAGTATTTCGAAGAGTGTTTGTTGTTTTGTAATATACTTTAATTCTGTGTTGTTTTAAGATTCTTTGGAATTCTTCAGTTGTGCCATGACGGTATGGTAAAACTGCAGTACCAATCCATGGCATTTCATTCGAATAATTGTTATTATTACGTGTTGAATTGTCTTGTTTTAATATACTTCTGATAATCTTCATAGGAAAATTATTAAATTGTACTATGCTAATTATATTCTTTTGTTCTTTTAGTTTGTCCTCTTCTGAAGTGATGATTTTGTTGGCTCTTCTAAAAAGATTTAAGGCTAACGAGATTTTAGCACTGAAAGTATGTGCTGAATGGAAGTCGATGTAACGATTAGAGTGTGTAGGCTTTCGGTAGATGGATACATTTATAACTCCATTTATATTTCTTTTCACTAAACAATCTAAGAAAGGAAGCTCACCATTTTCATTCTCATTCGTGAATTTGATATGGGATGAAAGTGTATTTATCTGTTTTGAAAATGATCTTAGATGCGTCTTTTTTATCACTACAAATGTGTCATCTACATATCTAAACCAAATTCGTGGTTTAATGTGGTTGGTGAAAATCTTTGATTCTATGTGTGTCATAAAAAGGTTGGCAACAATCGGGGACACAGGGGAACCCATTGCTACACCATTTGTTTGTCTGTATAGCGTTCCGTTGAAGGTGAATAGAGTTTAATTTAAGCAAAGTTTTAACGATCTCATGATTAAACTAATGCTTAACGGACATCTGTCCGACAAAGTAGTGTCATTCTCTAGTAAGCCACTAATAAATTCTAAGCTGTTATCAATAGGAATACTAGTATATAAAGATACGACATCAAAGCTTACCATGACTTCATTCTTCTCGATAATTAATTCCGATAGTTTTGATTTAAAGTCATATGTATCTTTAGTCATATTATGTATGTCGAACTGTAGTTGCTTGAATATGCTGCTTAGATATTTAGATAAAGCATAAGTCGGTGTGTTGGTAAAGTCTACTATCGGTCTTAGAGGAATATCTGGTTTATGAATTTTCGGTAAACCATAAAACCGTGAAGTATTACATGATTTGGGATACAGAGCAAACCAAAGCGAAGCCCCAATGCCTGGTTTTAGCTCTTTCAAAAGTTCACTTGTATCTTATTTGACTTTATTTTCAATCGTTTGAGAATTTAATGGATTGATCCTTTCAACTCAGAAGAAAGCATTGAAAATAACCCTTCCCCAACCTTCATGAGTTGTTGGTAAGTGTATTTGTTGAATAATTACGCATGCTTATTGTTGCAGGAAGGAACCCGTGTAAACAATGTGTAAAAAATCAGAATACTTCTGTACTTAGAAGTTATCTGCTTTTAACTGGAAATTTTAAGAAAATTGTGATTCACAAATACGGTCAAAATAAAGTCAGTCTTCAAAATACAAAAACCCAAGCCTAATCACATAAAAAGCACTGCATTCAAGCCCGTATCTTGGTGTTAGATACAGTCCTCTGGATAATATAGTTCTACTTCCATTTCCAATTCTTCTTGGTTTATATCAACGCAAAGATACATAAATACGATAAATTTTAAAAAGGAAAATTAATAGAATAAAGTATGTTTTATTTAATAATAAACTAAGCAGATATAAACAGGTTCATCTTAAGAAGCCTTCATTTAAACATACTAGGAACTCAATGAGTGAAGGTTGAGTTCATTCGAAATAGACTGGGTTATAAAAATAGTCAAGCACACTACTACATTAAATTAACAGTGGAGGTTTACAGCAAATTTTTACGTGAAATTATTTTGATTTATGTGTGGTCTGATATAGTCCTCACTCATACAACTTACATATCCTGGAGTTACACCATATTCATTGAGAACCATACCAGTTGAATAAACCGCTTTAACGCCACCACGCCAACATTGTGTGACATTCACCATAAGTATACCACGATCAGAAGCTTCTTTTAGTGCATCCAGTAGGTCCTGACGAGAAGATGGAATATTACCAGCTCCATATGTCCGAAGAACAACTCCTAAAATTTGAATAATGTTAACAGTACCACGGATAGTCTATGTGTATGTATATAGTAAATAAATATCCATAACTTCATGATACTTGAATCTTTTCTCGAAACTGAAAAATTGCATTACAAGGGTGACATCTTAGGTACTGAAAAAGCGATATAAAGTATCTGTCCATGAAATAATTTAGCTTTCATTCGAACTGTGCCAGAAAATACATACCTACAGCTTGAAGTTCAAAAAACAGTAATAATTTACTTTATACGAATATTCGTCAAGGTTAGAACGAATAGCTTGACAAAAAATGGGAGCCGAGTATAGAGAAGTCATTATATGTGAAAAAATTATATTTGAAATAGTCTTAGCGATTGAAATTTAAATAATTCCAAAAAAATGTTTTTCCTAAATCTCTGTTCGTCAAATCTCCTGACAAATCTATTCGTTCAATTAAAGCGGCGATCACAGCCACTAGAAATTTTATCAGGGAGCGTATTCACATAGCCACTATGAATTTGGCGTCACTACGTTCAAGGGTAAAGAATATCGATGAAATTCTGTCAGTTATTACACCGAAAGAAATAAGATCTAATATAAATGAATTTTTCAAACACAGAGAACAGTTTTATCATCAATCATCAAAACAACGACAGATTAGAAAGTTCGAAAAAATGTTGAAACATGCGTCAAACAACAAAGTTCAACAAACTAGAGATAAATCGAACACAGTAGATATTAACAAAATGTTAGTTAATTTATCTGATAGAATTCTGAACTCCCACAAAATTTCATTACTTAAAAAGAGTCTCAATTTCAATATAAATGAACCACAGTTATTATACCAGTAATAGAACCAGCTTTGAATATACTTCCTAGTGAAACAGCGAATGAATTGAGGAATAAAATGATGTCCGCGTTATTACTTCAGAAATCACAAAATTCGAATATGACTAAAAATGAGTTATATGCATTAAAACAACTGAAAAATGATAAGACAATTACATTACAAGAGAAGATAAAGGGAACACGACAGTCATTATGAACAAATCGGGCTACGAGAAAAAAGCCAAGGAACTAATCAAAGATACAAAAAGTAGAACAACGCTTAACAAACTTAAGGCTGAAACCAGTAAAATCTTACAGTCGGTAAAGGTCAAACTAGGAACGCTATTATGGTTCATGTTATATCCCAAAAGTTGTAACCGTTGTAGATTCTATGGACTTCCAAAGATTCACAAGGTTGGTACTCCACTAAGACCATTGGTCGATTTCACAAATTCACCGACATACAACCTAGCGAAATACTTAGCTAGGATACTTAAACCGTATGGAAAATGATTAATCATGGAATTAGAAATATTATTGATACCATCGACATAGAAGAGGATGAAGTAATGGCAAGTTTTGATGTTTCTTCCTAATTTACTAACGTATCTATCAACAGAGCGTTGGATATTATTTATGTTTGCTTAGAATCTGATTTGGATTTAAATTTACGTTGCCCGTTAGATCCATTTGAGTCTATCAAATGCTTGGAACTATGTTTAAGGTCCAACTTATTCATATTTCAAGGAGATCTTTACAGACAAAAAGAAGGTATAGCTATGGGTTCACCAGTTTCTCTGATTGTAGCGAATTTATTCATGCATTCCCTAGAAACTAGTGCAATCGCAAGAAGTGTACGTCCACCAAAGGTCTGGTTACGGTATATAGATGACATTTTTGTTATCATTAAGCAGGATGGTTTAGAAGAATTGTTTGAAAATGTGAACAACATTTCGGAGCGAATTAACCTAACGAAGGAAATAGAGTCCGTTGACCGCAAACTAGCATTTCTCGATTGTTTGGTTGAGCGAAGACATACTAATAGTACGTTAAAAATAAATGTTTTCAGGAAATCAACACATTCTAAGAGATACTTAGATTATGGTTCGGCTCATGCATTATGTACTAAAGTCACGGTTGTTGAAAATTTAATTAACAGAAGTCTTAAGCTTGTTACAGATAAGGAAGACCAACAATATGAATTGAATAGGACTTTGTCTACACTTAGGGATAACAACTACCCAAAGGAGTTTTTAAAGAAGATTGTTAGAAATGAAAGAAAAACTAAACTAGAATTTATTCAAAAAGATTGTAAGTCTACTGTAGTCATCCCATACCGTAGTGAAACATCAGAAGAAATCAAGCGGATTTTAAACAAGCATGGTATGAGTGTATTTTCGGACGTGTGACACTATAAGATCGGCAATAGTGAAAGTTAAGGACAGGTTACCAAAGGAAGAACAACAAAATATTGTCTATGAGATCAATTGTCATGATTGTAATGCGGCTTATATTGGAGAAACATCCAGACAATTGAATGTAAGGTTGAAGAAACACAAACAGTGTTTAAAAGATGTTCCCAAAACTTCGGTTGACATAAGGAAACTTGAGAACAAGTCTGCAATAGCGTTACATGCGTTAGAAACGGGACACATGATTAATTTTGAAGGAGCCAAAATACTTCAGGAAGGTTTCAACACCCATAAAGAAAGATTGACAGCAAAAGCGCTTTATATATGGGCGAATAAGAACAGCATAAACAGAAAGGACGGTATTCAAGTAGCACCCATTTGGCAAATATTTATCAACAAGTAATTTGACCCTTTCTTTATTCAACCTGTTTATTTCACATGAATCGTTATTTTGACTGAAATCAATGAGTTATGTTTAGCATTACAAATATGTACTTGTTGATCCTTTTTACTTGCAATTCAATGATTCAAAAACAATTTTTCAACCTTCAATTTGCACTTTTATTCTCATTTTTACTTCACATAGAAACATATCAACACTGAATATCATTCCGTAATAACTCATCTTACACATACATACACACATACACAATTCATCCAGTCTCCTTTTGTTTCACTTTTCGCTTGAATCTCATTCAACTGACTGATATTATCCTGGTTTAACGTAGTATAGATTCTGATATGATTGTTTAAAAAAAACACTATGTATTTCTTTGATGAATTTGATTTGATTATTACCCTGAAAAAGTCCAGACAAGTTAGCTGGACGAAACGTTGGAATTATTTAAATTTCAATAGCTGAGACTACTTCAAATATAATTTTTTCACATATAGTAGTAAATTACATTTAAAGATCTTAAGTAACTAGGCTCAATATCAGTTCACAGTTATTATATTATTTGCGTTTATTTTTTCGCTACCATTGGTTTTATATTTTCAAATTCTTAGCCTTTCATCTGGTAAATCTTCCCTTACTGTGTCAATTCAAAATGTATCAATGTGAACTGACACACATTTGTAAAAGATTCTACAATGTTCATTGTTGACTGACTTGATATAATAATTTAAAACTACATATTAACGATATAAAAAAGTGTCAAACATTTGTATTGTATCAGTAGAGTAAATAAAATCATATAAGTAACAGAAGGGAATAATATCCACTTGTATTTCTAGAATAAACATTCTTATCTACATGAATACAGGAATAGTGTTAAAACAAACAACAGTTCAGCACATACATATACAGACTTATACACTTAATATATTTAAATTTATAATCGGTGATATGTGAATAAAGAACTGTCAGTAGACAAATAAAATGTAGTCAAGAGAAAGGACTGACAGATTTTTTCTAATTTACTAATATCTCTGGAGTTAATTCAAGGAAGTTCATTCATTGAATTTATCTAATATACCATTTTTTTCTACTTTCATTTTATTTATTAAAGAGTGTGTAAAAATGAAACTGCTGATGCATTTATACCTAAAATTCTGCTATGTTCTATTCTTAAAATAAATAAATGATTATTAACAGTTGAATTCATGAATCGATCTAAGCTAGACCATCATTGAAAACCTGGAAGCACTGGACGGCCGTTTCGTCTTCAGCAGTTTTTAATGGTGATCTAGCTTGGATCGACTCGTGAATTCAACTGTTAAAAATACCATAATTTCCACAAACTCTCTTACTGAGAATAATTACTATTCGATTATCAATAAAATGATGTCTATTTGTAAAATAAATAAAATAAACATACCTTTAATAGGAGGTGCTAACATTGAAATAATATGTTCTTTAGATATTAATGGAAAAATATTTAGTATTGCAACATCTTGACATAAATTGGTATGAATACAAAATGGTTTAGGTAATCCAGGTGTTCGAAAAATTAAATCATAATTAATGGTTATTTCAGTTCCTAATTCAGCAATTGCTGGATAATTTGGTGACTCGAATGCATCAAAATTATTACTTGAACATTTTACCACTCTAGAGCCACGAAATAACTAGATTAAAAGAAAAATAAGCCAATTAAAAATCAACAGAAAAGAAAATAGCATATAAACAATACAGAAAAATATGTCATAAGATGTTCCCATGTTTATTATAGAGTTAATTAACAACAGGCTTGATGAATTCATTATAAGTGAAAATTATATTTGAAATAATCTCAGCTATTGAAATTTAAATAATCCCAATGTTTCGTCTATCAAACTCGTCCGGACTTCTTCAGGGTAATAATAAAAAAATTACCAAAGAAATATATAGCGTTGAACAATCAAATATGATCAAATTTATACTGTGCTAATCCGATTATATTTGGATGTTGACTTTGGTAAATAAAACAACAAAATAAAAGTGCAAGTTGAAGGTTGAAAAAATTGTTTCGGAATCATTGATGTGCATATAAAATGCGAATTCTCGAATACATAACTGTACTGCTAAAATAACCCACATTAATTTCAGTCAAAGTAACGATGCATGTGAAACAAATAGGTTGAATCAATAATGGGTCCAGTTAATGAATATTTGCCAAGTAGTCGCTATTTGAATACCATCATTTCGGTTCAGGCTGTTTTTGTTCGCCCACATATACAGCTTTTCTGCTGTCAATCTTTCTTTCTGAGTGTTAAAAGCTTTTTGAAGTGTTTTGGTCCCTTCAAAAGTCTGGCTATGGTATGTAGATGACATTTTTATTATTATTAAATGGAATAGTTTAGAAGAATTGTTTGAAAATATAAACAGCATTTCGGAGAGTATTTAGCTAACAAAGGAAATAGAATCCAGTGACCACGAACTAGCGTTTCTCGATTTTTTGGTTGGACTAAGAAATAATAATAAGTTGAAAATAAATGTATTCAGGAAATCAACACATTCTGAGAGATACTTAGATTATGGTTTGGCTCATACGTTTTGTATGAAAGTCACAGTTATGAAAAATTTAATTAAAAGAAGTATCAATCTCGTTACAGATAAGGAAGACCAAAAGGTTGAATTGAATAGAGTTTTGTCTACACTTAGGGATAACAGCTGCCCTGAAGAGTTTTTAAAGAAGATTACTGTAAAATGAAAGAAAAATTAAGTTAGAATGCAAACTGAAAGATTAGAAGTTCACCGTGATCATCCCATACCGTAATGAAACATCGGAAGAAATCAAGAGGATTGCAAACTAGCATAAGATAAGAGTGTATTTTCGGGCTTGTGACACTATAAGATCAGCATTAGTGAAGGTTAAGGATAGGCTCCCAAAGGAAGAACAGCAGAATAGGAAACGTGTGTCTTTAATTCAACCGTTAGCCGCCATCCATTTCTGCCTAAAAACTCTTGTAACCTAGTGGCAATATTCAGGCAATGAGCACAGAATCCGTATACGCCAAGAGACTGATTAATTGCAGTCTTAAATATTAATCGAAAGATTCAAACAACCAATAAGTATAAATTAGAATAACATTTATTGTGAATTGTAATGTTTTGAAACATGTATTCACGATTTCATTGCTAGCCACAATGGAGAATCTAAACAATTTGTAAGCGCATAGAGTACCAAGACGCCTAATCAGAAAACCAAGATATCAAGAGAGATATATCAAATCAGTGTTGAATATCTACTAACTGAAATACCGACACCATGAATTACTTAAGTTATTTCACTTTTAAGAATCAAGCAACGAATGATTTTTCAAAAAATTGTTATGTTGTTAGTACTAATGTTTTAATTAATCATGGTCTTGTGATTAATAGGTAGTCTTTGAAAATACAACATTACAGTATCTAAATTCATCAATCCATAATTAACATCGCATGATAATTATTGTGATAACTGTTAACCGTGACACAGCAGATGAATAACCTTATAGCTAAATGGATAACATTGACCGTGGACGTCAGGTTTTTATCTGTTTTCTTAATGCAAATAAATAAATGGATTCAGTCAAATCTCCATAAAGAATGATAACTCCCTATTTCACTGTTTTTATGGACACAGCTTCTGAGGAGTCCCGCACTGGGACGAAACGGCCGTCAGTGCTTTCAGATTTTCAACAGTGGTTTAACATTGATTGGTTCATGATCTTAACATAAACCACTAAAATGCCTAAATTGCAATTTAAAAAAAAATGTTTATCATATTATGGAAAAAGAAACCTACTTTAGCATGAAATAACACTGTGACTTCACAAATTGCATACTTTCCACCAGCGATCATTAACGCACCAAGAAAATTATTCCATCCATCACTACGAAATTCGAATACCGGTAATTGTGCTCCAGTTAAAACAACTGGTCTACCTAAATTCTCTAACATAAATGATAAGGCTGATGCTGTATAAGCAAGTGTATCCGTTCCATGTAATACAACAAAGCCGTCGAATTCATTATAAAATGCGTAAATATCTTGTGCTATACGCTTCCATTCGTTCATACTTAAATCAGATGAATCTAATAATGGCCAATATTCTACAACTGTATATAAAATACGATGTCCAGTTTTATCAATCGGTAAAGCATAAGTTTGTATATGATCTGATTCAGTTAAACTGGATTCACGTTTTGAAAATTTTGAATGAGAATATTGTGTATTAGGTTTAAGTTTAGTTTTTGACAGTCTGTGATGTAAGTGCTCAATGTTAAATTGGTTTATATGAACCTGAAATCTAAATAGTAAAATAACAATGATAATAATAATTACAGTAGTGATAACAAGAAGACATTATGTGACAACGTAAAATTCATAATATAACACAATCTATATGCAAACAACTAAAGATATTGAAAACACATTTTCAAAAAGCACTTAAACATTACAGTCAAACAATTCAGGTGTCTTGGTATGCATACCACTGACATTAAAATTAAGTTTCAATAAAGCGTTTACGTTCTCAAAAAAGTAACACTTATTATCAAACGATAAATATCAGTGTACAATTAACTACATTTGTGACAAAAAAGGCGGATAATCTCTGGTTAAAATCTAATTTACAATCAAATTTCTTACTCTCGTAAAAGTGCTAGGAACCGTTTATGATAAAATGTTCACATTGTATTTAATCACAATTTATGATCACTTAATTTTCAGACACCAAAAATCACAACCCACTTTAAAGTAGTTACTTCAGGTAACGATGATGATGTCAATCATTTTACCGCAACATAAAGTATGATTTACATAATTTTTTGGTTTCAACCGTCAGAACAATATACCGGCAATCCGATCATAGTTAGACCAAAGCTTCACAACTATCACTCCAAATATTAGGGTGCATAATAGCAGTTTATCAAGTAATTATCTTCAGATGTTTCCATACTATTGATTTATTATGCAAAAATATTTAGTTTATGTTACACATAGAACCATAATTAATTACATCATGATGAACATAAACAGCTTCGTTACCAAGGTTCCTAGTTTCTGGAAAAATTTTTGTATTCGGAATATAACTCAACAAGTTGATTAACTGAACTATTTTGAACATATATTAGTCACTTTCAAAATACTGCCATTCTTAGGATTTTAGTTCGAAATGAACTATCTGGCACTATTTGTATGGTATTATGCACGATGTTTGGTGACTTTTATGAGCATAAATAGAAAGACATCAAAAATAACTGAAAACATAGAATGTAACTTTATCAAAATCATTACACAATCGTAACCTTGAAACAAAAATTCCATTAATTTGGTTTTCAGATAAATCAGACGTACGTATGACTGATCAGTTTCAAGACAAAAAAACTGACTACAAAGCTTTACAGTTTAATTATCTTTTATAGCATGAAATTAATGCGATAAGAAGTGTATTAAAACAAGTTTTGCTTTCTTAAAAAAAACACAGTTATCTTACTCTGAATCACAAAATGTAGGCATCTTATTTAAGGTGGGAAGAAAAAAGTTTTCCACAGAACAGTAAGAACCATTTACACATTTCATTCCAATAGTACCACCAGTGTATAAAACAAGAACCCGGGAAACAGATAAACATTTTGGAATTTTTAATGCAAGATCAACTAATGACTGATCAATCATTGGGCTTCCCACAAAACTGGCCTGAAGAAAGAAACGAAGAAACAAAAACACTGAGAAACAGTATAATAGGTGCAGAAATATTTTTTTTCTGTTAAACTGTTAATATTTATATCTCTTCAAGTAAAATATACAACAACCGAAAAATTACAGAGAAGACTAAACATCATTTACTGTTATATCTGTGACCACAGACTACTATGCTAAACTCTTTTTGTTTACTCTATTTATGCTTAGTTGGTGCTGAAATTCAGAACGAAAGCGAGATCAAAGAACTTTGTATAGAACTTGGAAGTCATAAACAACCGTTCAAATAATTCATTTGGTCTCGACGGACATTTTTCAGACTGTTTTGGTTCCAAATGCTTGGTATGGGTTAGTAAACTGTGAACGACTGAAAGACTAATTGTTTATCGGTGATAGCAACTAAAACACATTTTACAACAAATATGTCATAGAAAATAGCAGAAATATATCATAAACATTTCTCACTTCTAAACAAAAATATCTGGATAGGCGTTTTTATACTCATAGGTGTCAGTGTTTTTCTATCTAAAGTAGATCAATCTATATTTACTCTCTAATAAACGTAACAATGACCGTTCCATTCAATTGAATTAGTTCAGCATTAAACAAACAGTCATTGGTTTCACATGAAATCAAGTAGGAAAATATAACACATCGTCAATCCCTTAAAAGTTTGATATAAATATATTATAGTAACTTAGTGTTTATCAACAATTACAGGGTTATCAGAATGTGGATTTGTGGAGATTGTGGTAATCTTAATAGTTGGATTCATGAGTCGATCTAAGCTAGACAACCATTGAAAACCTGGAAGCACTGGACGACCGTTTCATCATTAATGTCTAACTAAAGTCGATTCGTGACCATGCGCAACCTTCATCCATTGTCTGGAGTAGATAACTGTCTCCACCTGGCACGGTTTCAACTCGACTGGTCACAGCTTCTCACCAGAACTCCAGGAAATCCATCTTTAAGCTAGTTATTAGTGACATTGACACCGTTGGATACTGACTCAGTGGTCTAGGGGTTAAACGTACGCGTGCGAGACTGAAGGTCCTGTGTTCGATTCCCGTGTGCAGGATCGCGGATGCGCCCTGCCAAAGAGTCCCATACTAGAAAGAGGTAGCCATACTGTGCTTCGAAGTTTTCACTAGTGGTCCAGCTGAGATGGACTCATGAATTCAACTGTTAAAATTACGGTATTGTTGTTTTCTTAATTCCATACCCATCTATAACGCACAGGTAGCGCGACACCATTTATTAGGTGTAATAGTCCAATGTAACTAAAAAGTGATCTTGTTATATGTAAAATTATAGCTATAAATGTGTATTCATAACATGAAAAAGTCATTTTGGTTTTATTCTCAGTTAGAGACTGTCTTACTGATATAAATTAATTATTTTCACAGTTGAAATCATGAGTCAATTGAAGCTAGACCACCATCGAAAACCTGGAAGCACTGGACGGCCGTTTCGTCCTATTATGGGACTCCTCAGCAGTGCGCATCCACGAACCTGCTCTCGCGAGCGAGATTCGAACCCAGGACCTACCAGTCTCGAGCCGAAGCCCTTAACCGATAGACCACTGAGCTGGCATCCAACGGTGTTAATGTCTAACTTCAACCAATCCACGATATTGAGCGACCGTTCACCAATTGTCCTCAGTGAGATGATATCTCTACAACAGACCTGGTAGAACTCCACTGGCCACTGCTTCCCACTAGAACTCAAGGAAATATCTCTTGAAGTCAGTCACTAGTGAGCATATGATTATAGATGAGAGCGGGTTCGTGGATGCGCACTGCTGAGGAGTCCCATAATAGGACGAAACGGCCGTCCAGTGCTTCCAGGTTTTCGATGGTGGTCTAGCTTCAATTGACTCATGATTTCAACTGTGAAAATACTAAATTCTCCACAAAACCCCCTCTGATCTATAAATTAATTACTCAAGAAAACACTGTGAATGATAATATCAGGTGAAAGTTTATAGATTGACAGATAAACTCACCACACCATCACTCCATTCTTCAGTTTTGTTTATTGTGGCAGGTTTTTTTATGTTCTGCAAATAGCTGCAAACTAGAAAAAAGTCATTATTGTCAAAGTAAAACACCTAACTCTATACATTAAAGATAGATTCATTCACATGGGTTAATTATTATCTCACATATTATAACCACAAACGGTGAGTTATGAGTATAATTGTTCTTATAAAACTCAGAAGATAGATTAAATGTATACCATGGCTGAATCACATATGATTGTTTCAAGTCAGTTAGATTTTCGACAAGACTCGGCTGTGGCTTGAATGGTATTTAAAAATTTAACAGAATAAAGCTCAGGTAGTGTCATCACTACTCATAGCTTGTCAAGTCTCATAATGATATAACCAGATATATTTAAACTCACACGATTTTGAGCACAGTAGCTGATAATTCATCGTTTACTGATAACTTTCTGATCATTAATGGAGTACTTTTATGCATGGTCAACTGATCATACTTTGAACCAGACCACCAAGTTTTATCTATAATCATCTTAAAATTAGGTTGATATTAATTCCCACACTACCTTTAGACTATTTACAATATTTTTGGTGTTGAATGAAGCGACTGACATACCTGTAAAAAAATTCTCGTTTCAATGAGGCTTTGTCTACAAGTACATGACGCTAATCGTGAAGTCGTGTCAACAAAATAATTTGCTCTTTTAATCTTCATCGACATGAAGCTCGATATAATTTCAAAGCACCCAGTTTTACTTAAAACCTTAGGCAATGACGGTGCATTTTTAATTTTTCTACAAAGTTTAGAACATGAAAAGCGAAGACTTAAAGCAGTTAGTAGTCCAGCAGAAGACAGTAAAAATAATCAAAATGGTGAGACACAAACGGTCAAACAATAGTGAGTGAAGTAATATAAATACGTAAATATTTGAAATTATATATTGATACTAAATATGGATCTTTTTTGTAAGATCGATTAACTTTGATTTCAAAGCCATGTAGATAATTAACACAGTAAAACTATTCTCCCGATATAATGAAGAAGGTGAGCTCAGCAGATGAAGATATTTAGAATTAAATCGTGAGACAAGTCTCAGACAAGACAAAACATATAGTTGTTCAGTATTTCTGGTCCACTAAAGTTAAACACAGACCATAGTATACATTTTTATTCACATGAATGAAGCAAAATAAAAAGAATTGCATCTGAAATGACTTTTGGTGGTGTTTGGAAAATGTGGTAGCAAAATAGTTGAAATAATTTCACAGTTAAAGATTCATAAAAGTTTCAGAAAATGTCAGTGTGATCTTTCATGCATCCCAAGTATCATGAGAAGGGAAAGGTGTGATAAAGTGAGATTTACAGGAATAAAGTTATTTTTGTTTACGTTACTATATTGAATTCCCATACCACAGATTTCGTTTCACAAGCCAACTACAGACTATAAATAAAGTCTAAAAGGCTCACCGTAGTCTAACACAGAAAGTGAAGGACTGATTGACAGCCTATTTACTTGTATTCATTAAAAGAATATCAAATAAAGATGAAGTCATCTCTGCATAACATAAAAAAATCAGAAAGATTTGTGATAGCGACAAAAATATGATTCAACCCTCTTCAATCACAAACACTCACTACAATATGTTGTTTGATTTTAAAACTTCATTTTCTGGTCTGAAATATCGCCTTGCTAAGACATAGATTTTTCCAATAAAAAGCTTTAATGCGAAAACCATTATTATGATAGCTTAATAGAGTAACTTTTGTTGATTAGTTCACATGCGTAGTATACATTTATTTTACGTGGGTATACTTGATTAGTATATCTGAAAGTTATATGCTTGCATCAATTTATCATAGTTGTCGTTATTAGTTAGCTAAAGCAATTATGGAGGGTAAATATAGTTTTTGGATTGCGAGAAAATAGATATAGGCAGAACTGACCTGATATCCATAAACTGGGCCTAACAACTAGGTCTTACTTACTTACTTACACCTGTTACCCCTCGTCGAGGAGCATAGGCCACTTACCAACATTATCCATCCAACTCTGTCCTGGACAATTCTTCCCAGTTGTTATTCATCCTTTTCATATATGCTTCTATTTCCCAGTGTAAAGTGTTCTTTGGTCTTCATCTTCCCCGCTTCCCTTCCGGATTGCAAGTTAGGGCTTGCCTTGTAATTCACATACAATGAATGCACATACATTCCTTAATGTATGTCCTATCCACTTCCAACGTCTTTTCCTGATTTCCTCTTCAGCTCGAAGCTGGTTTGTCCTCTCCCATAAAACGCTGTTGCTGATAGTATCCGGTCAGTGAATGTTGAATATTTTACGTAAACTGTTTATAAATACTTGTACATTCTTGATGATGGATTTAGTAGTTCTCCACGTTTCAGCTCCGAACAGCAGGACTGTCTTGACGTTCGTATTCAAGATTCTCACGTTGAAGTTAGTTGACAGTTGTTTTGAGTTCCATATGTTCTTCAGTTGTAGAGATGGTGCCCTTGCTTTGCCAATCCTCGCCTGTACATCTGCATCAGATCCTTCTTGTTTATCAACGATGCTTCTCAGGTACGTGAAAGATTACAGTTCTTCCAGAGTTTCTCCATCGAGTGTGATTAGGTTAGTGTTCTCCGTGTTGTATTTGAGAATCTTGCTTTTTCCTTTGTGTATGTTGAGGCTTATTGATTTTGAGGCTGCTGCTACATTTGCTGTCTTCGTCTGTATTTGTTCGTGTGTATGAGATAGAAGGGCTAGATCATCTGCGAATTCCAAATCGCCTTTCATTTGATTCTGAGATGTCTATTGTATTCCGTGTTTCCCCTCAGACGTCGAAGTCTTCATAATCCAGTAAATCACCAAAAGAAAGAGGAATGGGGAAAGTAGACAACCTTGTCTAACTCCGGTGCTTACTGGAAATGCATCTGCTAGCTGTCCTCCATGCACCACTTTGCACTGTAGTCCATCGTATGAGTTCTGGATAATGTTGACAATCTTCTCAGGAACTCCATAGTGTCGAAGAAGTTTCTATAATGTTCTCCTGTCCATACTGTCAAACGCCTTCTCATAGTCGATGCAGTTGACGTATAGTGATGTGTTCCACTCAACTGATTGTTCAACGATGATCTGTAGTGTCGCAATCTGGTCTGTGCACGACTTATCCTTACGGAATCCAGCCTGTTGATCTCGAAGTTGGACGTCTAGTGAATATTTTCATCTGGTTCAGCAACACTGTTGAAAACTTTTTCTGGTGCTGACAAGTGTGATGCCTCTTTGATTCTCACATTCGCCCAGATCTCCTTTCTTTGGTATCTTGGAGATCTGAGCAAATGTGAGGTCTTAGGTGATTAGAAAATGAGTGACCTACAAAACTGGTTTTCTCTAATCGTCAACACTAACATATCTGTTTACTCTATTTTAATAATGTTGTGACAGGCGGTGTCTGAAATCTGATATTGATACACGGTATGCTATGCACTAACCGCTCCTTTCGAACTGACTAATTGAGAGAGAACATAAGAGTAAGCGAGAAAGTGTATTGGACTATCGAATGAAATACACAAATACTCATTCATATATGTACCACTCTATCCTTAGGAAAGTGACCCAATGAAATGCATTTGACCTTTGGGTCACATTGGGTTGTCATCGATTGACTTTTTTGCTACTTCTGATTGACTCTCCGCGTCCATTAATCAACATATAGCCACATCATTTTATTAGAAAAAACCTGTTCTGCTTGGTAGCAATCTTGTCTTTTGATAATAGTTTATTAGTGGCGATTTGGTCTCGTGATCATTTGCCAATCGAACAATTCATATCATTGCATATTAACTATTGATTAGCATTCTTTTACTTCATTTTAACAATTGAAAATTCATTCATAAAGTCATGAAATCCTACACAACAACAATGACTAAGAGATTAAAAAGTCCACTGTTTTGGGTAAGTAGAAGTCATAATGGATTCGATCGATGTAGTCACAGATAAAACTTCTTTAAGTACTCATAAATGAACAAAAATTTCAAAATTGATAAATCGTCAAGTCAGATTGAGTAACAGGTCAAAGGGAATGCATCATATGAAAAAATGTTCGGTTCATACGAAATGGTAGTGATTACAAGTAAAGATATTAGAAAAACTAGTATTGAAGTTCGCTCGTGTTCCCATTCAGTCGACGCACTACAACATGTATTTCTAGAAGACTATTCGGACTCAACTCCAGAATTTTTAAACATAGCACTTCAATATATAATCGAGCTTACAGCATATTCATCTGATCAGCTCTCAGAAGCCATGAATAGGAAGAAAATTGGTGAGAACTACTGAATCTCAGTCACACCATACAGACATCCTAGCCCTCATAACCTTAGACTTCGTCTCATGTGACTAATATTCAATCTTAGGAGGAAGTAAAATCAAAAATCCACTTCCACTGATCAATCAAACAATAAAAAATGAACATTTTAAATTTGATGTACATAGCGCAGCTGCAGTCTGCGGATGAGACGAAAAAAGGATTTCTAAGTAAATTGGAGATGTTAGATGTTGTCGCATCAAAATCCTATCATTTCGTAGGAGAGGTGATATGATTCCCAAGAACCACTCATAGCTAGTTTTTTTTAAAAATTTATTTGAGGATAAAGGACCTACAATATTGACATTTTTTCTATCTCCTGTTACATGATTTCATCTAAATAGGATTTTGCGTTAATACTACCATGAATTAATGATTTTGTATACGTTTGACTCTGCGAATTTCCTTTTAGGATCCTAGTATATCTAAATTGCTATAAATGAACATCATTATCTAGAGATCTTTGTTCGACCTAAAATCTTCCACCATATTCTTACTTTGAAAACATATTCTGCCCTGACAATGACGTCCTCAAATGTTGCTTCTCAAGGCAAGTCAACTAATTTGACCCACAAATTGGACAAAACAACGTGCTTCTTGTGTGCTTGAATACTGTTTCATTTCAGTCCGTTACGTTTTTGAAACAAAACAAACTTCCTCAGCCAGCTTAGGAATAATCACATTGATCACAAGCATTTACCTTTCCACCATTCTGTTAAATGAATCATTTTACTCAGCTCGATTGTTATAGTATATTGATTAAAAATGATAATAATATTTACTTGTAATTATCGTGACCATCAAAAGTCGTTTACAACAGGTGAAAATACTTTATGATACATGCAGACGGAGAAGTAAACACAACAGTTTATTAGTAAATGTTAAGCATTGTTCAAAGTTTTCTTAGCAAGCCATTTACTGAGCTTCTACTACTTCATACAACCACATTACTGGGACATACAGAAAAACGCTGTGTGAAAATGTGAAGAAAAACAGCTGAACATAAATACAGTTTCAAAGAGAACCGAACGTTCATAAACGGTTTTGTATTAACCACAAACCATATAAAAAGTCTCAAAATGAATTCATTATCAATATTACTTTAAAGCGAAATATAACAGCGGGAAACACCGAATGCTGAAAATCAAAAAGTTGGTTTAAATCAGTTCAAAAATGACTAAATAATTTTGTCTGAAACAGCCCGAGCCTATGTAGATCATTTCTAATATATTTGTAACTTTTTCATAACTTAAAAGGGTGTAAACTCCGTCGTCAATAAGTTTAATTGTGAATGACTAATTGAAATTTTAAAAGCAGAAGCTACTCAAATACACTGGGTATGGAAAACGTTATCTAGCATTAACTTCGAGAAACCATAGGATTCTTAACATGTGCGAAAAGTCACTTAAAAGCAGACTGATAAAAGGAAATGTGGAGAAGGAATATTATATAAACGGGTTATTCACCCAATTTCACCACTTCTGTGTAATTGAAGTCTATTGAAGTAAATGCACAAGTACGAAGAGCACTGATCCATAAGGGAAAGTATAAAATCTTATTTACTTCTAAAACAACGTTAACAGACAATAAGATAATCTCTCGGTTTACAACATTGTTGAAGACTTCGTCAAGCAAATGGTGCAAACATCTCTATAGATTTTAGTAGTAAAGGATATCAAGATCGGAATTTATATTTATAGATAATTCACAAGCACCAAATCTACTTTGGCTAGAAAACGTTTTATCAATAGTCTAAATAGTAAATTACATTTTTAAAGAAGCAGCAGACAATCGGAGCAATATTATCAAATTAACTCAAGAAACAACGAACTGCGGCATGGAAAAATATTGAAAAACTAAATCACTCTAATTGCATAAAATAATTTTGTCACCATAGGATACCAAGAGATATGTCCCATATAAGGAAATGAGAGTACAGATAAAAAGTTTTGGATGGTAATCTATGAACAAGTTTTGACAAAATATGCTGTGCAATAAACTATAAAATTTGACGAAGAACACAACAAAGATTTTATTCCACAGGAAACGACTTGAAGTTAATAAAATATGAATAAGTAATGCATAAACGAGGATGCTAGTGGGCTTTACTTTGATCCATATTTGATAGACGATAAAGACTTCCTATAATCCCCGACATCTGACCCCGAACTTCTTTATAAGCCAACAGATATTACTCAAACACAATGGTAGTCTATATTTCTACTTCAAGGTCTAAACTCACGGCCTCTTTACTTTTCACATACATTTTGAAAGTAAACAAACAAGGAGCAGTGTAAACAACTAATCTTCCAGCCTTATGAGAAGTTTCAGAGACAATGTAGACTAAAAATGCAGCGATTCTCTCTGGTCTGGAGTTTCTTTTTAACTTCCATCTATTTTAAGGGGACTTTCAAGACAGTGATGAGATTCAGGGGGCTATTCTCAGTATTTCCCCGAAATTCCCCCAGACATTGGAGAAATTAAATCAATGTTGGTGAGAAATCTCAGAAATTTCGGATTAATTTTTGGGAAAATCTCAAACTCCTCACCGTATAGACGTTTTCCCCACTAATCGCAATTAAGGCCAAGTCTTCATGATGCATTTAGGCTGCTAAAAAACCAGTCTCCTATTTTTGGCTTATGAAGATATTCTCTGTCGCTCACTTTTATCCATAAAACTATAAACATACGTAACTTGCAAAATTGTTCGACGATAAACAACCTTATAGTTGACTAAGGTGTGCGAAACACACTATTCCTGTGCTAGACTCATCTGATACAACACCGCTGGCATTCACACAGCTATTACATATTAGATGTACCACATAATACAGAATGAGGCTCCAGGAAGACTAAGGTTATAACACAGAAAGTTGAGAAATTAGCTCTTCGTAAATCTACAGGCTCTATGTTTGTGGGCATCACTGACAGACAGATTATAAACAGATTTGTGTAGATATAAACCACATATGACTAAAAAATAAGTTCGGTCAACTCAAGATATTCACACTCCCAACATAATTGGCTAATAACTCTATAAACCAAATTAAAACCAAGAATATGTAAAAGTTCAGAAATTGAATTTTACTTATTAATGTATTAATATGTATACATACTTGCATTCTTAGAATGCATGTATTATAATACATTAAGTAAAAAACATATTTGTAGTTCTTACTTTTTTTTGAGGATATCTCATCTTGAGTAATTTTGCAGTCAGTAGCTTTCTTGGTAAAGGAAGCCCACATTCCATATAAGACAAGTCAGAATAACCAAAAGTGAATGGCTAAGTGAAAACTGACTAACTTATTAAATAAAGCGCGAAATAGAGGACAAGGAGCGTTGAAGTAACTATTCAAAAACTACCAAAAACTGAAAACGCTTATATCTAATCTTTTGATTGTTAGAATAAGCCTTAGGTAGTTTGGTCTTTGCCAGACAATATACATTATTGGCTTGAGTGTGCAAAACTTTATGTTAAATATTTTAGGAGTTATCTTTTCACCCGGGGTCATGTGATTTATGGGGAAATTTCCTACAAAGGTAGTCGCGTCTCCAGTTTTGTAACAAATAAACGGCCAAAACAGGTAGTTCTGTAAGTATGTGGTACTAAAGCTGACCTCATTTTTTGCTAGACACACTTGCTGAAGTTCTTGATCACATACCTGCAATGGATCACGGCTGGGCATGCCGTGTTTCCCATATCTTCCAAGTGTTAGTCATCTTAGATCACACGTTCATTGAAGTGCGAACTACCAACTATATGTATCTTTGAGCTCCTTCATTCCTGACTTCTGGTTTGACTGGTTCCGGGATCCTAGATGCCTTGACAAATGACAGCGTTGAATATTCTTCATGTCTCCAAAGACGATTTTTATTTTGCTGGCTTTATGAATTTTTGAAATACAATCTGGAAGCCTTTCATGACTGTTATTAAACGTAAAACTTCACTTTAATAAATGTGAAGACGTTGGAGTGTATCGGAAAACGAGACAATACATCAGGTCATGTCGTCATATTCTGTGGGATCTAAATAACCCAAAATGTATGTGATTTGTTATTATTAACACAACTGATCGTCTCAAGCCAGCACACATCGATGTCAGTACTCCATCTAATAAGTTGAGACTCATTGCTAGACTCATCAAACCTAGCGTGATCTCTACATCCACTTCGGATCCGACGCTAGATATATCAGAGACAGCATTCTCACGTCCACCCAACAGCATGTCATCTGCACCATCTACGAACGATTTTCCGGTCGCACGTCCAGACCAACAGATCACATCGCCTTTGACTTCGGATGAGACTGTGGTCTCACGAGACTACCGTCTCGCGTTCAGGTCGCCAAGTACGCCTACTCGTGCGCTTTCGTGACTATCCTCGAAATCAAAAGCGGATACGCCATAGGATTTTATCCCTATACTGCACGCATGCTACACCTTTATATTTTTCGTTAATATTTATCCTGAGCCCACGCCTCACACCAGCGCCTTGTTGGTACCACCGACTCCAGTCAATCTTGGCGAAAGCTAGCCTGATCACTCACGCTCTTGTCAACGCACTCAGTCTATGTTTCTGGCTGCGAATACGTCTAGCATATATGTAATCCCGAACTTGTTTATCATGGTCGCTTCTGATTTCTTGGCTCAATGTGGTTCCGCCCTACGTCTGCAGCGTTTTCTGGTCCGGATCCCTACGAACGCAATCTTCAAATTGCGGATGAAAACCTCTCTGATGTGGCATACTAACTCAATCAAAAATACAGCACGTTTCTCCTGATACCGTTATACGTAAAAGACCTTTGGTGCCAACTCGAGGATCAACGATCGCTTTCTATTCTACCAACGCCTTCATCCTACAATTGCACATTTGCCGATCAGTCCCACGAACGAAACCGTTACGTATTGAAAATGTAGACCCCTTAAAGCGGGGGGCTCCTGTAGTGACCTACTTTTATGACGATAACGAGATTGGTATAATGGAAATAGTTGTTATTATAACCAATAGTATCATTGATTGTTTTACTGTACCTGTTTGTTTATGTGTACTGAAAACACACATTCTTCCGTTGCCTGTGACCCTGTACGACTTCGTATACCCCGGTAGTTCAGCTTGCAAACGTCGGCACGATCTTGTTATTTTTTCGATACCATGAGATCGCCAACAAATATATCTTGTTGCAGCCGTCAACAGCGTTCTGGTTTTTGGCTTATGGAGGGATCCAACTATATATCTGGCACGTAATCTTCCTGTAGTGGTAGTCAACTATATCCTGAACAAATCTTGATAGCAATCCTGCAAATATCACTTTGATCCAGCCGTTGCTTACGACGAATTGGACTGTTGGTATGTCACCGAATCAGTTGTCTGTCTATTAATACTCTTCATATGGTCTATCATGTGTGTAAGACGGATTAACTTTAATTGGAATGTTAGTTGGTGTGTTGACTTTGTACCGAATACCATTCGCTGACGTGATTACCAATTATAAAACGCATCAAATAAAAGTACGCCCATTACTACGAATAATAAACTTGCCATAGATTAAGAGTAGTAAATCATAAAACATTCTCAATGGGTTAAGCGATTGCTAGTAATAACGGAAATATAGATATGGTAAACTATAAAACTAATAAATATGCAATAAGAATACATGAAATAATAGTAGTCCATAAGTTGCTCATGGAAGTTAAAATTCCTCCAATTTTCGTTCGGGCAGGGCCAGTGAAATGTCACTGATCCCTAGCCAAATCATTTAGCAGTTGGACAGCTCGTCGATCATCGTCAAGGCCAAGGACGATCAACGCGCATCAACTGATCGCACGCCGTGGACTGGCTCATGCGGTGGAGTTCACATTCTCTTCCTTAAACTTACTCTTACTACTATATTTCCGTAGTAACGTCGTTTGTATCATATGATCTTCAAAACAATCTTTCATTCATGAAAAGTACACTGTAAATTCACAGATAAGTTTTAACAAACCCACGTCCCTTGCGAGCGCCATTTGAAAGGACAGTGGTATTGTTTCTCGTTGAGTTAAATTCACTGTTTTGATCGTAAATTACGCATCAAAACTACTGTTTACACTTTAGTTATATTTATTTCAGCTAACGTGATATTGTATTTGTGTGTTTTGGTCTTGCTTTTGTGTATTTACTGCATCGAAGCATTCTTGGTCGACTTCGGTTTGATTTATTTGATCAGGGTTGTGATTCGTCTTACATATCCATCTTGTCTATCATTTTAGTTAATGTTTAAGATTGTCGGCTCTGCACACAAGTGTGGACAGCCAAACTGCTTATTTCATGTGGAAGAAGGAATGCAATGTGATGTATGTAAGAAGTGTTTCCGCAAAATGCGCACCCGCTTAAGTCCCACTGACTATAAAAATTGCCCGAAGCCTAATTTCCATTGGCTCTGTATGTTTTGTTGCTCAAGCAAAACGTTACTCATTCAAGAAGTAATTAGCCTTCTGGCATTAGCTAACAAAAAGTTTGACAAGGGCCCTACCAGTAACATGGATACTGATAACGAAGATTGTATCAGTGTCGTAAATGTTGCCACGGAATGTGCCAGACATCTAATGGTGCAATACGAAGCAGAACTATCTACCTCGAAAAAATTAATGAGAGACGCACCATTAGATATTGATGGACAAGTGGCTTTAGCAGCGATATTTATTAGCAATCTCATCGTATCGAATGAATACCGAGACGCGCCAAAGAATACAAGCAATAAGAGCAGAGCGTAAGAAGGTTCGAACCAACAAGATGAATAACGAAAGGAGAAGTGACTTTGATACAGTTAAACAACAACGAGTATGGTAAAACAATCACTGGTACAATTGGTTATAATAATAATTGTTTCCATTACACCAATCGCGTTCTCGTCGAGAAAAGCCGGTCACTACATTTAATGTGACAGCTACAACCACGTAAGCGTATGAAAATGGCTTGCGTGAAATATTTTATTTTACAGCTTATATAATTTGAAAAAACAAGAACAAATGGGAATACATAAGCACATATATACTAGAAATTTAGATAGATGAAATGTCACAATTAATAACTTATTGGTACATACAATACATCAGCTAAGATTAGAATGGTGCATCCACGGTTCAAATAATTGTTACAATTAGGGTTCGAATCTCGCGAGAGCGGGTTCGTGGATGCGCACTGCTGAGGAGTCCCATAATAGGACGAAGCGACCGTCCAGTGCTTCCAGGTTTTCGATGGTGGTCTAGCTTCAATTGACTCATGATTTCAACTTTGAACAATTAGTACCAGTTTACTCAAGGGTTTATATTGATTGGTGATATGACTGAAATATAACAGTTTATATCCCAAGTATTAAGTCTCTCCACAGTTATTACAGTTAAGTAGTTTTACTTATTAGAATAAGGCAAAGTAAATGACATTAAGTAATATAATGCGCAATGACAAATTAGTTTCATCTACTTTAATATTGCTTGTTTTTTTGCTGTAAATAATATTGGAAGTATAGTGAGTACCGACAATCGAATGTATTTAAACACAAATTACGGACTATCTCACTAAAATCTGATAACCATACAGTTAATTTGCAAAATAACAATTTTCACAATCTTGAATGTTCCTTATGCAAACATCAATCCATATTCTCTGATTTCATTGTTCATGCGTTTTCATAACGATTGCGCTTCGTTCCCGTTTTCTCCTTATCGATCTTCTGCCAAAATACATTATATGCCTGACCATCACCATATACCACTTAGCTGGCCTAGTCCGAATTATTTTAGTTTTCGTCCACTGAGATGTTCTTAGTACGAGACTTCTCAACAATATGTATAGATGACGCCCCAACCAGGAGTCGGGTTCAGGACTCAGTCTCGTGTGCGAAACTTTAACCTCTACACTAATTATTTCGTTAAGTTTTCATAAATTCTTTTTGATACGCTTGTATTTGTATTACTATCTGACATATCACCTGGCTAATATCTTTTATTACTATCGTTATACATTTACACGCATTTTTATTGACGAGATGAAAAACTAATCAAAAGTTAGTATTTCTTCTATCTCTGCATTTTTTCTCGTTTACTTAATCTGTTGGTAAACAAACTCTTCTGGCAATAACTTGAATGTTAGAGTGCTGAGCAGAAAATAACCCATATTTACAATTTAATAATTCTATATTTGATAAATGCACGTAGGTGGATAAATAATTAACGCATAATCGTTTCGTGAATCTTATTTATATTCGTTACTTCCGATCATTTCTCTGAGGAAGCTCGTACCAGACTACCAAACGGAAGTTCGAGTTATTCTTGATTTCAGTAACTGTAAATTCTACAAACATAATTTTTTCAATGTCTTCATCAAACTCAGTCCCCAACTATTATTCATTCACATTTAAAAAAATTTTATATGAAATGTTATAAACTTTCCTAAGTGAGTTTTTCCGTACAAAAAGATTATGGGAAAATGGAGACATGAAAGCAAATATTCCTCTTAAAATATATTAGATATCGCTGGTGTGTATTGTGTTGCAAAGTTCAGCATACGAACTTTCTACTTGGGTAGAGTATCAGAAAATACTTATCATATTAGCAGCAAATAATTTCGGAACCAACATAGTAGACAAAAAATCACTCGTCATCACCTTATTAAAACCCTCTGGGTTTGACTGTCAGGTACGAATTAAGCCTGGTAACCGGGTCCTAATTTCGTTAGTACTTGAGTCCCCTGCGAAATTTATATCTTTTAATCACTGGTGTACTAAACTACTTCTAAACAAATGTACTAGTAATTGGTTTTGTATGTGAATACGTTACTTTACAGGACAAAGAATAAATCCGTAAGGTGACTATCTCTCAATATTAGTTAGTTATGGGCTTATGTACGTAATTCAACCACGTGACCATCTATGTCGTATCCTTGGATTTTATTTATTGATCAGTATTACATCCATTCTTTTAACGATCTCTAAGCATCATTCCAACTCTGAAATTTATTCATCACAACAACTGGATCTTCCACGTAAATAGCTGCTAAAACTTGTTCATAGTCATTTTCCCATGAATTCTTACATTTAATGTAATCTCTCTTAAAATGTTTTCGGGCTTTATATCAACAAGTTAACACCTCTACATCGGACTCTAGCTCATGAAAGTCCAACCTAAAAAACCTAATATAGTAACTAATACGATGTTGATGCAACCAAACAAACATAATATTTTCAAATTGAATACAGTAGTCTATTATTATCGACCATAAGATTCAGTTACCATGCGAGTGTCGTATCCAGGATAAAACACTGGGCTTGTAACATGAAAGCTAGCTAAAATACAATCACGATTTGGTTTTTTTATAATTCAATAATTATTCTCAAATAATTTGAAAGATTGATTTAAAATATATGGTGGGATAAACGTGAAATCACGAGTAAAAAAAAGACACAGATACGAACGAATTAAAAACAACTAGTGTTGACAGTTAAAGAAATAACTGAACACTCAGTTATTAGAATCCATAAAGCAGTAGTTATTATAAGAAAATTGCACAGTAAAATAAAAGTAGGTTCTAAAATTTCTTTTGTACAGCGTCCAGAAAATGTCATAAATTATGCGATACGCACATTTGCATGTAAAGGTCGTAATCGTTTTGTACGCGATAAACCAAGACGAAGGCCACTAGACGGCGTGACAGGGAAAAACGCTTTATTTGAAGATGGCGGAGTAGTTAAATTACTGACTAACGAATTTGAATGAACAAGGGCGGAAGGAGAGGAGTTTGACGAAGCTTTGTGGCTAGAAGTTGTTATAGATTCTGATATTTCACAATGGGAAGCCGAAGGATTAGAAGTAGTAAGTTTTGCTTCATTGATTATTATGTTAGGTGACATTCCCTTTCGTGTTTGAATTGTTTCACATTGTTTCACGGACGTATCTTTCGTTAACTTCTTAGTCTTAGAAGGTTTACTTATCGGCTTCACCTCTTTAACATCAGTCTTCTTGAATTTAACGGGTTCATCATCATCAAAGAACTCAGTATCACTGTCACCTAATAGAGCATAATTGTGAACTTTTCGTATCCGCGAGGAGCGTTTTTCTGTCATTTAAATTTGATTACTGATCTTTTGATTGCGACCTGTATTAATAGCAAGCAATATATATATATATATATATGTGAAAATAGCACATTTTGAATCCAACTCAGTTATCAGGTAAAAGTTTAAGTGATATTCTCTGAACCATATTTATGAAAACAAATTACACCTCTAAACTGACGAGAAGTAGTGAGTAATATGAAACTGTAACTCAGACTGTTTTCTCCTATATCCTGAGTTTTAGAATTTCTCCACACTTTTTTTATTGCACAAATTTATATTTCCTCGAATCGCGCTGTCTTAAGCCTACTCTCTTTTACTACCACTGATACTGTTACTACTTCTACTACTCTAACATTCAATGTGAAGACACAGTATGGAAACTTAAAAAACGACGCACAAACGTACCGGAATCCACATTGTTGATGTGTGAATAATTAGTTAAAATAAGATAACCTTGAACTGTTTACATCAGCACTAAAAAATCTGATACATGCTCATTTAACTATTTCTGAAACACCTTAGTAGATTTGTAATGCTTTAATCAGGATGATCAATGGTGTAAAACACTAGAGTGGACTCTCTATGCTTGTGAAGCGGAGAGTTGTTGATTAAGCCAATCGGAATTCAACTACTGGATTCTAGATTAGACCTCGCTTAATCCTTAGTTTGAGTATCCTGATAGAAACAATAGCCATTACATAAAATGTTATTCAAAGTTGAATACGTAACTCTGTGCTTGGTTATTAAGGTTCAACAAAAAACCTGAACACTAAAACAAAATCACACAGTTGGGCATTCGTTATACATTACAACTCTAACAAAGTACAAGGACACTGTATTGACGCTAGTCGGTGGAAATCGGAAAAAAACGTACAAGAGTTTCTTGAGTTGTGATAATCAGCGAAAATATTAAGTATAAGTGAGTCACTGAACCTACTTATGTTTTTTATATTTATCCCTACTCACTACAGATCGTTATGGCACATATAGCGTAAAAAAACCTAGCGAAATGATATACTAGCAAATCCCAAAAAATATATATTATGTTCCTTGAATCGAAATTTTCATGGATCATAATTCGAGGAATTAAACTAAATATCTTGAAGGAAAACTACATGAACCCACAATTTCCTAGCTTATTAGTTCGGCAAAAGGAAATTTACTACTTAAATAACCATTCTCTGGAATCATCCCAGATTTGTCACTGACGGTTGATAGGTTTTAACTCCGCCTGTAGCCCTTCTAGGGTTACTGCCTGTCGCAAGTCTGGATACAAGAGGAGGGTTGGGTATGTAGTATGGGGAGTTGAGAAACCCTGATTCCAAACCAATGGTACACATAGACTCCAGGATTCAGAGGGAACAAATGGCGTATGAACCAATCATTGGTCTTCGGCTACCATTGGACTGCATCTCCTGAAGTTGCTCCACTGCCTTGTGGACTAGACCTTTATGTCAAAGGCTCCGGGCATGACCTAAGAAAACTACCTGCTTCGGTATGGGCACACTAGCAGTCAAATGACTTGTGTGGCGCATATGTATTCAGTGCACTTTTGTACCAATATTTATGTGTTCAAACAAATCAATAAATAAATATTTAAGCAATAAACAGTTATATTAAAAATATGAAACACCACTGGAAAATTCATTCTAAATTAACGGCTAGTTCCGCTTACCCAATATCATAAGAATAACACAAACTTTTTGATGAATTAGATCAAATATTTTCAAAGACTCCAAACCAATGATCAAATGTAAGTTTATCAAAATCGGCCAGTAACTATATGAAGTATTCTTCCAGAGATATCAACATAAAATACAAACCACAGTATTGTTGTTGCTTAAGCCTATTTTAATGACCAAAGAGAAAAGACATTATGTTAGAACTCACAAGGTATTGAGGAATCATTCAAAACAGTTTAGAAATCCACACTTGGGAATGCCAAAGTATAAAGTCGAAAACCATTTGTTTACGTATGTGATTATTCGAGTGAATATAGGTGCACCCGACGATACAATCATAGGTAATAGTATGCTATGCAGTCACAAATGATTTTCAGACCACCAAAAGACCCCAAACCGCCATTTGCTTAGTCTTCTGGATCAATAGAAGCAGTCCAATTATAAGGCGGGTAACAAAACAACACTTAAAACCCTTGACTATAGCTTTATCTTATCAAGTAAGTCATTTGCCAAATATAGCTTCATTTATCCAATTGTAAGTCACTTTCTCATGTGAGAGCTAATTATAATGCCTGCCTAACCAAATTACAGTAGGTAAAGCGAAGTTTAAACCTGTGATCAATTTGTTGTAAACTGAGTCCCCTAACCATTGAGTAACCAATCCCTCGAGGATCAGGAGAAAAAAGAAGTCGTATCTATAAATTATATATAAATATTAAAGGATTAATAACACTTAACGTAGTTTTTTTCTTAATTAACTTAGCTTTATACGGAATCTAAATGCGTTTTTCTTGTAAAGGCTACTAAATAATTCAGTTGTATATTTTTGACTTCCAAGAAACAGAATTCTCTTCAAGCGCATTGTATCTTGAAGTGAAAATAGAGTTTTTATGCACTTTGTTCTTAAAAAAAACATAACTAATAAGACACATTTTTCCAAGTTGGAATACAGGAAATCTGTCATGGTTTTCTTAAGATGTTGAATTTTGTTTTAGTAAGTACTAACTGGGTCTATGGAAGTAACATACTTTACAAACAAAACATTACTGATGAAATTTGTCAACTGATCAAACTGAGTAAAGGCTGGAACATTTGTTGGAGTTTCAGTCACATTGTGTGGCAAAAAATCAATTACTGCACTCCATACATATATCCTGAAATTTCTAAGTATTAATACATCTCAGCCAGTCAGTCATCTACAACACAGGACCAGGAATATATAAGCACCGGTCGAAGATGCCACACCTCACTAATTAACACAAGATGAACACCAAATTCATAGTAGTTACTTCAATAGTGATAATTTATAAAAAAGGATTGTGTATAAGGATGTGACAGAGGAAGAAAGAAATAGTTCGTACAAAAAAAGGCATAGAGTAGCATTATTCTCAAAGTTTAAGGGGAATTAAGGGTGTATACACCTACGCTATTATGATCGATTCTGAGTCATGTCACACACAGTCTCCAACCATTGGTTACGAGGACCCCAAACAACTAGTCTGCATCTACCAACATGGCACAGACTAGAAGTTAGTGACTTCAAGCACTGATGCCGATTTTTGGTTCGGCCGTCCCTTATTTCCTCCCAACCATCTCCAACACTAGTCAGCAATGAGTGCCATGATAATCGGCGTTCAAGCATACGTTACACATGGCCCAACCATCTCAGTCGATGAAGATTCACAACTTCATCAACTGATTTACCATCATTCCCTGATACCATGTAACTCATTATTACCCGGCGACCACAGCAGATGCTGATAATATTTCCAAGACATCTGTGATCAAATACCAGTAGCTTACGAGTATTTTCTACCCTTCCTTAATGGCCATGGTTTGTAGCCGTTAAGTAAAACAGAACGAACTGCTGAGCAGTGTACTTAACCCTAAATTGATAGGCGGATATCTCGCCTTTGCCATGGGTAACGTGAGTTCACAAAAACCAAACGAGCAGGGATTTCGTCAGACACCGACCCATTAGGGCCGACCAGACTCGCAAGATAAGTGAAGTTGTCGATGCGTTCGACAAATAACTCAGAAAGGCTTTTTAAACTACAGAGGGGAGTAGCCGAAGCGTTTCACATAGTGTTAAATCCCTCTGAACCGAATAGGAAAGACGGCCTGAATGTTCATCCAACCTGGACTGTTTTTTCAGAAAACCAAATTTTTACACACACCGATAGAAAACTTAAAACCACTACTTCATATCACAAATGCGTATATCTTTCATACCCACATTCTGACACAAATTAATACAGTGACTTGTCATACAAATTCGACTTGACCAAGAATAACTTGACACTGATATTTAGATCGATTATGATTTTGATGGTACTAAAATTATTAAGCACTGTTTCGTTTATTTATTTACTCTGAAGAAGTGTCTTATATCTAGCCACGAAGGCCAGAAATAAAATTTTTTTACTTCTTGGGATATAACAAAAATATATTTACTGTTCACCTTGAATTACAGAAATTACGAAATTCCAATTTACCTACAGCTATTAATCAGACTATTCGCAACCTACCAGGGTAACCTTATTTTCTATACTCTGAAGTTAAAAGAAACGCCATATGAGGCTGTAACAAGCGCACATGCAAACATATGTGCAGTCAATAATTAAGTGTTTGGAACAACATGAAGGTTTCTCTTAACGATTTAAAAGACGACGAATAATATGGACGCACTCTAAAAGAAACGCAATGACTTAATAGAACTTGAAAAATTATTCACAAAAACCTCAAAGCATCGTAGATAACAGTAAATAATGATATAGGCTATCTTTAAAAGCCAGAACCATTAATTAGACCATTTATGATGACAATTCACTTGATAAGAGATGTAAAAGTGTGCAAAAATGGGATAATGGCTTTGGAATATCGTGTAGGGAGTGAGATACACTTACAAATCATATACGTCACAGGAATTCAAATACACTCGCAACTAACTACAAAATATCTATACAATTAATAAATTCTTGTATGCTAATAATTCTTCTTTACTGGGATTTTGCAGCATTACGGAGTGCGGGGAGCAATTATTAAGATGTATGGAAGATCTTTAGATGTCATTATATCGATGTAGATGGACATTTGAAATCTTGAAAACTAGTCGCAAGTGTTATTTTAACTTATACTAGCCATTCACACTATTCAAATAATTTTGCTTGTATATGTTCCAGTAGAACGAAAATCAGATACACTAGAATCTACGCATACAGGGATAAGTATAGAAACTGAGTGTTTTGTGTCGCATTTTTGTGAAATCTTTAGTGGTATTGTCTAAACACTTGCTCAAACTGACCAGTTTGGTTTCACGACTTAGTGCTTAGGACGTATGGAAGTTTCGAAAAATCCACAAATATTGCAGGTATAAAAGGGTTTGATTCATTTAAATTTTGCCAGATTATGTTTTCAGCAGATTTATAATTTTTTGTCGCCTAACACAAGACGTTTGAAATATTGAGTGAAGATCACTGAATTATGCAAAGCTTTCCTTAGTACCTCTCACGGCTATAGCTACACCCTGGCGGATCACGATTCTTGAGCAGCCCAACAACCCTGAATTCGCGAACACATTTCTGCATTCAAGTTAGCCAACGATTGTAAAGTTTAAGGAAATATGTCTTAGGATTTTCCCGAAGACATTACTATGAATCACCAATGGGTTTAATTAACCTGCATTTGAGATGATTGGTTTGGAAAAATTACGTGTTATAACGGCGAAACTAAAACTTCCCATGGTCTAGGGAAAACCATGGTTTTTTTTACTTAAATGGAAGCCGGAAAATTTTCAAATTCTTTCACAATAATCCGAGTTGGCACATTGGGAGAAATGATAATAATTCACTGAAACCACTGTCATGGGGAAGGCGGAGCACGTAAAAGATTGAGTGATGAATAAAATAGCCGTGAATGGAATGAGGGAACTATAAATAAAACTGATTGAATAGCTTTCCCAACTCAGTGTTGTAAACATAAAACCTGTGTGGTGGTTCGAACCTAACCTGAAGGCGTTTTGGATAACAGGGGAGCGTGCAGAGTATGCGAGGAAAGCTGGAAGAGAACAAGATCAGCCGAAGACTCATCGGCTGTCGCTTGCAGCAGCAGGCGAACAAAATGAATTTACTCTTAGTAGCAACAGCAATAAACAACAATTAACAACAAAAGAAGTATGATATTAAGACAATTTGACAACGGAAACTACATGTTGACTGCTCAGAGTTTGAAGCCCGTTACACCGAGGAGTTAAAAACGGCGCTAGAAACAAGTATTACTAAAACCCACGCTAACCAATTCCAATTTAACACCAAGTGATACAACACGACCTTGGATCCAAAACACACTGTTTTCTCGATGCACGAAAGTCTCACAACCTTTAGAAAGGTACATCCAGCTGACGAGTCCCAAATAGGACGAAACGCGCGTCCTGGATTCCACTGCTAGCCACTATCCATCTCTGCTAACCATGCTTTAGAAAGGTTTATATGCTTGTTTTTTTAAGGATAGAGGCATTTCTCACTGGTTTAAATCAATTTTTCTGTTACATGACGGTGTGAACATGTCTTAAAATCTTCGTTTTAGATCTTATTGCTCGATGATTATTAACGAACAATTCAGCAAGGTCATTCTACATATCTGATGTAGAGTTCTGAGTCCAGCCAGAAGGTACTTTGTTCACTAAGGGAGTGTAGGGTCAGTGAAAAGTCACCGAACCCTAGCCAAATCATCCGGCAGTTGGGCCACTAAATATCCAACAGATCATCGATCCCCGTCAAGGTCAGGGACGATCAACGCGCATCAGTTAATCATACGCCATGGACTGGCCCGTACGGCAGTGGTTTAACTTTCGCTTGCATCTTCTTTAACTAATATATTCCTGTAATAACTTCCTTTGTGTTGTACAGTCTTCAGAACATCCATCGTCCGTTGAGGGCAATTCAGGTAAGATGCTGATCGCGAGGTATGACTTTGTCGTTAGTTGGTTCGTCACCATTCTCGCCCAACTCTAGTAGGCCCCCAATCATTCAACATAGATCATCGCCGTTGATGGTCTACAGGAGCATGCGGAGTAGCTTGACTGTGGAGGGCTGTAAAAAAGAACTAAGGGAAAGTTTATTCAACGATCCAACAAGTTTACACAATGCGACTACATTTAACGAAGAAAGCAATGGAAGACAGTCAGCGATAACGCAAGCCCCGTATTATGATAACGTTGAAATCAAAACTACAACCAGGTAATTTAAACCGATTTGTTGGTACCGAATGGCTTCAAATTTGGAACACTATAATAAGAAAAAAAATCATGGAGAAGAACCACGATTCATTTTATCTCACACAGTTCTCCTTAACCCAGAAGAACACATACAATTGTGTACGAAACTTCATGCTCTATGGAAGACGTTCCAAAATTAGATCGTGCAAAATCCACACGGTTATGATCAGCAAGTTGTGAAGTTCCCTACCGGAAGCCAAATGATGCCAACTCCTGATGACTGTTTCAACAAAAGCCTAGATGTTCACCTTATTTATGTAGATGCTGGAAAAGATTATTTTTGGAGACCAGACTAGACTGGATTGCATAACCATGAACCATACTTCGGGAGTTACCGACCTATTAGTCATGAACCTCCTTGGACAAAGCTGTCGTGCCTCCACTACACCCAGATCTCGAAAGTCTATCATGGCTGGGCAAACGAAATTCTGTTCACGTGGATGAATTGTGTAGTCCCCTAATGAAGCCTTCTTCTGGCCAGTCCTTCGATGCCTCGGATTTTCCCGGTCATGCACCAAACCCTTACGATATTTCTTTTGACAAAGGTCTGGTTCTCCCAATCTCATCAGAAACAAGGGCATAATCTGGGACGATCGGCCTCCCTCTAACGGCACAGATGACAGGTTATATCAAAATATGTTACTTAACGCACTTACCCAGAAACCTGAACTGAACAAAGTGATACACAGCTCTCATGATGTTCCTAATAAGCTGCTAGCCGAGGAGTCTTTATCCACTTAAACTTTATCTTTTACACCTGAGTCCAGTGATTTTCGTCCCATATCCTCTTATCCTGACCTAGGCTCCATGGAGTCTAACCCTTTAAAATCCAAGAGGTGCTGAAGTGCTTGAACACATATACATCTACTGGCTCAGACGGTATTCGATACAAAGTCCTGTAGAGTTATCCAGACCCTCTTTGCTCAGTTTTTACCATTCTGTTCAAGTATTTCTCAGTCGAGGCTAAGTCACTCCCTGACTAGAAAAAGAAGATGCTCTCCGCAGCAGCGAAGGTAACTGGATTTGCTAACAAAGAGTTCCAATTATTTTCCCATCAGATCCTCTTATGAAATAAGAATGTGAATTTCTATCTTGTGGACCCTGAAAGGTAAACCTACTGACCACCTATAATTTATGAACCATCCAACTGGAACGTAACTATCCAGTGTATATTGACCTCCCATACTTCTCCAAGGCAGACGAAAGGATTGACCACAGCAATGTCCCGATAACTAAATTTCGTGTGCACAACCGGATTTTTAAATATATGGTTCTGGACTACCTAAACAGAGGGTTACGAACTCTCAAAATTTGCACAACCCATGCACTTGGTTTTCCATAACAAGTGCAATGCCACTGAAATCAATCCTTAGACTACTTGTTTTATAGCTATTCAGTAATAACCTACCTAGCTCTCTAAACTCTAGAACTCTCTCTTACCTGGATGACCTCAAGATCTGAAGAAGAATAATTAGCTTCGGTTATATCTTGACGCTCTAGGAAGATTTATATATCTGAAGTACTAAAAACCTCAGTACCAATAAATACGAAATAATAGGGGTGAACGTCAGCTGAACATAAGATAACCGAGAAAATTCTCAAGGAACATTTAACACAGATAGAAGGTCCGTAATGGTTGACGCAGGAATAAATGAATCAAGATGGCAAGACTAAGCCATGAAGGCGTGGTCACGCCATATAACCTGTTGCTTTTTGCATCTGATATGTTACTCTGTTCTCAGAATAAATGTATTCTTATGAAGTGCTAGACATTATGCTGCTAGTTGCCACGTAGGATGAGTCTGTACAGACAAAAACGTCATTCCCGCGTAAAATCATATAGATCTGTAAGAAATCTGTAATTTTGGGATGAAGTCTACTATTTCAGTAGCAAAGATAGGTGTACTAATATCAAGTGGGGCTATAATTCAACGTCACAACCATCACGTACATCATGAGAGACTACAACACTGATGTTGTTTTAGCTTATGATGGCTTCAGTTAACTCATCTATAGTAAAAGACCAATAAATCTAATATAATATAGTTTATTGGCCATAGTGTCAATACGTAATCTGCGCAACTTCGCTTCGAAGCCCAGTCATTATCTATCCTGACCACCCCTATTATACAGTCGGAAATGCTGCTTTACAATGAGTATAATCATTTCAGCAGAAAAGTATATTCGGTATAGAGGTTGAAGAGTTACTTGGAATGATGACATCTGAATGTTGAGGTTATGGAGTCTGTATAATGTTCCTGAAATCACCTTTATTGTGATTAATTATCTTAAAATCAACCGTTCGACCTCTGGTGTACCGATTCAAATATGAAGGTACTGTGGTTGAGAATCAGTTACCGCACTTTTGCTATGGTGTCATGCACTCCACTTCCGTTAAGGACCTAAATACCACTGTTTATGTTACCCATAGTATTTCTTCCCACTGCCGTTCTTTGGACAATAAAGCGCACTCATTCTTAGAGTCATTTACCAAGACAGTTAATAACCCGACTCCTAAGACCCCATCTATAAAACGATTTCTGAGTTATGTCTCTTCACGTTGAGAAGGTTATTCCCTTCCTGAAACATGTTCCGAGAAGACCAACTGAAAAGCCATTCAGAATAAAATGTTATCCTACCCAGCTTATCTGAAGACCCTTATCTTAAAGCCAGGGCAAAATAGAAGAAATGGGGTAGATATGATAACGATGAATTATATTGCTTATAGTTCTTTCCACCTGGATGGACTGCTGATAAATTCCAGTTATACGTTACACTGAGAAGAACACCAACTGAAGAACGAACAGGAAATGTCCGTGTGAATGTTTTTGCAGTTTCAACCAGCTATTTATGGGACTCCCTACAGAAAGCTATAGTAAAGGCATCCTTCGTTCAACCTTTCGAAGGAATATTTTATAAAGTGCCTTCATGTTCCACTCATCTATAATTATTACCCTTGGCTTTCTAGTGTGAAAATAACAAGAATCATACCACGAAATAGGCACACCGACTTCCCACACTCAGACTCCAAGAAATAATAATTCGCTCCTAGTGTTCAGTAAAATAAAGACAGCCAAAAACGAAACCTGCTCATGACCCTATAAAATCTATAGAAATGGAAAGGAGCTGAAATAGCTTTGACGAGAAAAGGAGATAGCTATTTTTGTAAAAGAATACTGTCTTCAGTACTATATATTAAAACTACACATAATCAAATACTTTCAGCTTTTCTTGAACCATTCCATTTATGCAGTTCATTGTCCACTAACGCCTTATTTACGCTTGTTCTCTTTAACCTATTAGGATTCCCTTGCTTAAAAAGCATCTTAATGAAAGAAGTTAGACTAAGTAGTTGTACGTTAGCTGTTCCTCCACAAATGACTCAACTTCATTATTCACGAACGTTGTCTGCTCTGCTCCTTATCCTTTCTTTTTCTTACCCTGCTTTTCAGTCCCCTCGAGATATGTCACCGGGAACATGTATGGAATGTTTGACTTCGTCCCGTACCATCATTAATGTATCAGATGTTCCATAAGAATATAAGGTCACCGTTTCAAGGAGCTCTCGGCTTTATTCGTGATAATCAGGAGCACGTTGCAAGGCAACCTCCACAAAGCGCCCCAACCCTCATGTCGACAATATCAGTCATAATAATATTATTTACACTCATATATGAGATGCGCTATTCTCCATAATTCTATGACCAATATACTTTATAGAATATCAACCTGACTGAGTAATCTACCACATTGAAGCCCGTATCTTCTGTAACAATTTGATCTTGCCTGTAAACTGGTATGCCCCATGTAACAGACTGTTATTTGAAAATAAATGATCATTATTATAAAGTTCTAAGTCTTACCTTTGAGTAATTCTTCTAACAATATCAAGTTAACTCTTCGTAATAAATGAAATTTGTCGGTTAAATGTAAGTGGAATTATCACAAAGGACTACTTAGTGACTTAAACTCATACGACAAACCATGAGTAAACTGCTCTAATTGAAACTGAAATCCATGGATATCAGTAAGGACGTGCTCCTCGATAACATTAATCAAAATATCGTCAATTTTGGGTGGCTGATATACATCTAGCTCAGACGTCATAAGTAATTCCAGTAGCATACATTAAATGACGGTATGGGAACAGAGCAGAACTTGGCTTATAGCCTTTTTTAAAACACTTGACAATCTAACCTGTGAACTTATAGAAAGCCTCCTCAGTTTATGAATATGATAAAATTTAAGAAAAACTCATCCACTACACCTTTCTCAGGGTAAATATATTCCTTGTGTCAAAGTCACAAATGGAAAACAACAATCGGTAGGAAAACAGACTCAATCCATCCTGTATATGTAATCTTCAGGCACCGCAGAACAGTGACGTTATCAAATATGATTGCAGCACATTATGCTGCACATAGTCGTACCTATCAAACCCATTTTTCTCGTTCCCCTGTAGAGACAGAAATGACTTCAGGGTGGTTGTGGTAGATGTTTATTACACTAATCTGAATATGAGGTAAATGAGAAAATAGACTTTCAACATGCAACACTTGGAGAAGGTCAATAATGGTGAACGCGGAGACACTCATCCGAATTTCAATTCACTGGATGACATGGCTCAACATTGCAGGCGTGGTCATTTTTATGCAAATTAGCTCCTTCACTGATATTAAATACATTGCTCCATCTCCTTCCTGAACGTGTTCTTTAGAAACTCCAGACATGTTTATTGTCTCGACACGATTACTAAGTGTAGACTATGATGTAACGTCTACACAAGATCTTTCAGATTAAGCAGTTATGTTATGACAAATCCAAAATTTTAGGATTAGGTCTATTATTAGAGCAGCAATAATAACGAAGTACCCCATAATCCTACAACTATCTTAGATTCCATTAACCAAATACCAGTGCTAATAGTGACTGATTGTAACCCTCATGGATCGCAAAGGATCACTGTACAATTCATCCTAAAGCAGCTAGAAGAATCCATGAGAAATTCCTTAATTTATGCCTTGGCACTTTGGGATGACCGAGAAGGGGAGTCGAAAAAAGTAACGTCCGAATAAGTCCATAACCCAAATATCATGACCGTAATGATAATGAAAAATGTTTTATTAGCTGTTTCAAGTAACAGGTATAAGTGTGATTTTTTTCACTCTGTGTAAAGTTAGGGCCTTAGTTGAAAACACTGATGTGTGATTACTGCAAATAAGGTTCTGATACTAGAACGAGTTTCATGAATATGTTGAAAATGCGATACATTACGTATTTATTTACTTACATTGACACCTATTGTTCTCCCTTGAGTTAGGTTAAGATGTCGGCCATGCAGTCTGTATATAGGGTTGTTTATAAGACTCAAGAATATAACCATACATATGAAGTAATAAATGGATTAACTTTAAGTAATAATTTTGCATGAAAATGTCTTACTGTGTCTACAATAAATTTAATAACATTAGAGGTAAACACAAGGATGTCACAGATATTCACGGCTTGACAATGCTTTTGTTCGTGAAAATAATAGAATCCGGAACCCCAAACCCAAGCAAACCAAAATTTAGAAATGAGTGTGTTCAAATATATATCAGGAAGGTACTTGGTAAAGAAAGATATGTGTGAACCAAACTGCCGCATTAAATATTAACAATTTCACTGTGTTTTTGATACGTTTGCCCTACTGCAATCTTAAACTTGTTTGCTTGTGTATTTGTATTCAGTTTCACACTGTCTTACCTTGGTATTCTGAGAATTTCGCTTTAAAAACGCAAAAGTTGTAGGTTTGTTGTGCAATTGTTATGTTGGTTATTAGGACAATATGTTTGAGTTGACTAATCGCAATCTACGAATAAACGTTTGGCGCCTGATTTGGGATTTGACTTTTTTAATACTCGGATCGTAGGCTACGAGTGAATCAATCGAGTGCTCTTCAAAAACGGAATAGAGCAAAATGTAGATGTGACAGAAAAATTCTTCAATTTGGTTTTCGGATTCTATACATTTCGGACTTTGTTCTTACGTCTTATTTGAGATCGAATCCTTTTATTTGATCGTCCGTTTTATTGGATTACCTTCGGATTAGCTTGAGTTTGGCTTAATGTTACTGTCTATGTGGAACGAAGATATATCGTAGAAACGAGGAGTAAAAGTTTAAATGAAAACAATTTGGAAGTGAGCTTCCTAGGTCAGTTTGCGAGCTGTTTAATGGTAGCGAATGAAAATATGATGGTAATATTTTCGTTCATAGTATGGGTTCCAATCGGCTTTGTTCCGTTATGCTTAAGTTAGGTATGGCACTACTTAAGAGGAAACAGTTAGAAAATAGGCTGCAATGGGAAAGGGATATTAAAATGTGAGATATTTAAAATGAGGTTGGCCTTGCTGAAATAGGGTACGAAATTTTGAACGAAGACGACCAGTTATCTGTAAATACTGGTGAAGTAAATACCAATGTGAATAGATATCTAAAGTGTGATACTGGGTAGGGTGTCCGATCCGGGGATCAACCTTGGCATTTCAAAGGTCAAGTGGGACGATGAAGTCAAGGATATGTTTTACACTATTGTTAATAATGTCGGTTTACCCAAAATTTATAGTATGTATTTTGTTGGACAATCTGGTTAATACCACTATTTTGCTAGTCACTCTACAAGCATAAGGAGTAAAGTGTTCAATGGGAGTCAAAAGTTGTCAAATCTGCTGCGCTACCGTAGGAAAAAGGCCAGAACGTCTGATGAGGCCTGCATATGATCGCCTAGTCACGTGCGTTATGATGGAGTGAGTCAAAATTTTCTATGATCGTTTACAAGGGAACCTCTAGTTGCCCGTAAACTAATTATGGAGTTACCCCACCATAAGTCTGTTGGATGGTCAACCAATGAGTTGACAAACTTTGCGAATAAACTACTTAATTGATGTATGAAATGGCATATATCTGCTCTGTCAGAAATGTACATCATTTGTTGAAACAATTGGTTCATACTTCCAATGCCAATTTCACAGCTAATTTGAAAATGTTTGTATCATGTCTACCACCGGACTTACAAAATAACCGGCCAGGAGTTGCTGATGAGACAGCGATGATCGGCACAGGATCCAACTTTTAAGAACTGGTTGCTTTCATAGAAGTGCCAGGATTGCTCTAGCACATCGTTGGAGGATAGTACAACATTCTGTTGTTACAAGAAAGCATTAGAAATAGTTAGAGGTTCCTTCAGTTTGGTGGGTAGCAGTAATGGTAATGAAATAAAATTGGACTCTGAATTATCTGTGAACAGTGAGTCTGTATCTTCAGTTGCATTGACTACAGAAGCGGGTCTATATAAAATTAGAATTGTAGAAGATCAATTCGAAGTAGAAGTAGATCCAACATCTCGATATGAGTCTCGTACAGACCATATTAATGAAATTAGTTCGCTTGATTTAAAAGTTGTTACAACTTTGGAACTGCACAAAGACGTTTGGGATATTCGGCTGGTAATAAACAATGTTGTTCTGGTGTTGTGTCAAGTTATGAATCTTGTGAAAAACTAATCCGTAATAACGATAACGATAAATGAATTTCGGGTTCATACACTTTACATGGCTTTTTGTATTCGTGGTTTTAGAAAGAGGATTTTATCAGCTAAGCATATGGAGTATACTGAGTTACGTACTGAAATAAAGCTGTCGCCAGTGTTCGTTATGTACTGTCAAATGTCAATACATTTTGGTTTCCAACATGATCCATTTGTGTGGTTGTGGTTATTAAGCTATTTTCCGAAGTTTTCGATGATCTCGCTAGTTTATCTGATCTTCCTTACACTAAAGCACTATAGACACTAGGAGAAGTCTTCAAAACGTGTCACTGAACTGCATGAAAGAGTCGGTAGACACCCAACTTTCAGATAAACAAAGTGAATTCCATAAGGATCTATCGTGCACAGACTACATCGCGACACTACGGATAATCGTTGAACAATCAATTGAATGAACTTCGTCACTTTACATGAACTTCATTGACTATTAGAAAACATTCAAGAATGTCCATAGGAGGACTTTACGTAAACTTCGTCAACATCATCCGGAATTCATACAAAGAACTACATTGCAAGGTCGTGAATGGAAGACAACTGACGGATGCATTCTAAGTGAGGACCGGAGTCAGGCAGTGCTGCCCACTCTCCTCAACATTTCAGAAGAAACATGGAATACTATGAACAACTCGGAATCAACTAGAAGACTTAGACTTTACAGATGACCTAGCCCTTCTATCTCATACACACGAATAAATTCGGATAAACTCAACTAGTTGTTATTACTAATCGCAAACATCTTATGGCCACATAAGTGTTGTGAAGAAACCATTTCGGGTTTCTTCAAAAATGCAATAATACACAAGTTTCAATAAACAGAGCATTAGGTTTGCCATGTTTGAGAAAGGAAGGAAAAGGAAAATAAAATATTGATAATAGAATGATAATAATAATAATAATAAATGAGGTTTTGTGTAATTGGTAAGAATTTTGAATTGATTTTGAAGAAGGAAAGGAAGAAACTAAGGAAATAGAAATAAAGGAGACGCGGATTACGTAGATAGCTTAACACTGAACAAGAATAGACAACTATGTATGTATCGCAAAATGGGTGATAAAAATAAAATAAAACAGAAAAAATTCATAAGTAAGTAACTTATTATTGCGGTAAGATATGACGTTAGAATAAGTGTTCGTGCGTGCAGTCATAGTTTTGGGTGATGCTATGAGAGTCTCAATTAAGTGCATATGCATAGTGAAGATAAAACGAGTCTGAGAAGTTGAATTCAGCACAATACCAGTTATTGTCTTGATCCAAAACTTCGTAATCTTAAGAATAATATTTATTTGGAAGGAGAAAGAAGGAGAGAGAGAGGAAAGAAATGAACACCTAGTAAAAAGGTCCAACCATGTTAAAAAGTGTCATGGATATAGACCTTTGAGATAAACGAATAATTTAAAAAATCGGAAAAAAAATATTGATAGTAACAATCATAATAATAAACCTTTAGTGCACTCGGATAAACACGTGTAGATTTATGCAACAGTATGCAGAGTGAAACCAGGCATTAGTATAAACATTAGTGCAATAATAATAATTTAGAATAATGCTATAATGGTCACAATTAATTGCAAAGGATAATCAAATATAAATTTCTCTATGTTATGTATATGTTGTGAAGATTAAAAAAATCTGAGAATTCATTTGTTTAAGTGTAACATAGGGTTCTTTTGTTTTCAGTTGCAGACTTTAGATGTTTAGGAATAAAATATGTTTAGAAGGACAAGAAGAGATGAAAAAAATATCTAATGTGTCGAGAGACCAATAATGATAATAATAACAGTAATAATTGTAAAGACGAACATAAGCAGACTTCATATATTAAGATGAATAAAAGTGAAATAGAATACTAAAATACCATATTCAAGAATGAGTAAGATGCATTTTCTGTATATTAATAATCTCCATTCGATATTATTAAATTAATCATTATTAATCCAACGAGCTTTCTAACTTTGGATACTTGAGATGCGATGTTCTCAGAAAAGTTCGAACTGTCGCCATATCTTAAACCCAAGTCACGAACAGTTCTGAGAGGTTTCAGTTAATGTTTGTATATAGCCAAATTTAGGTTAAGGCAGCGGTCAATGTGGATAAATGCACTTTTGTAAACATTAAGTGGCAAATACCACGAAATAGTCCATTCACATAACTTGTTTATTTCTTCTTCGATTACCGCTGAAATATAGCTTTTTTGATGAATTATTTTTATCTATTTAAACACATAAATATTGGTACAAGAAGCACCTGATACATATGCGCCATACAAATCTCATTCGATTTGTGTGAGGGCTGTGATACTGAGCAGGTGTCCGAACTGAAGCAGGTGGTTTTCTAAGGGTGCCACACCCGGAGCCTTTGACCGAAAGAACTGATCCACAAGGCAGTGGAGCATCGTGAGGAGATGCAGTCCCATGGTAGCCGGTGATCAACGGTTGATTCGTACGCCATATGTTCCCTCAGGATACTGGAGCCAGTGTGCACCATTGGTTTGGAATCAGGGTTTCCCAACTCCCCTAGGTGGATCGTCCATATCCACCAACTCGGTTAAAGCGCCGGACATTCGCTTTTCGTCCTCTCAAGTTCGTAAACAACAGTAATGCCACGAGAAGGCAGTGAGTAGGACTTCCCTGGTAGAGGCAATATATTCGCGTGGCCATGTGAGAGCATTTGGAGAGGGAGAGCGGACTCTCCCCACTCTCGGCCGTACCAGGGCATTTGGGCATTTTGATTAAAAAAGGGAATGAATAAACCACTTTTAGATAATCGGCAAAACGTAAAGGTTTACCATATTGAAAGAGGGAATACACGTCATTGATAAAAAGGAGAAGTAGTAATGGACTAATTACACTTCCTTGTATAACCCCACTGGTTACATTCACAGGTTTGGAGTAGCAAGATTCAAAGCGGACAATTTGGCTAGGTTCTAAAAATGATTAGGGCCAAGATAAAAGGGGATTCTGTATTCCATATGAAGAGAGGTTTAGAAGAAGTAGTTTGTGTGAGACGCTGTCGAAGGCCTTACTAAAGTCGAAGTACAGATTTATCACTGACTAACCAACATCTCCTCTCTGGGTAATTTGATCAACAACTTCCAGGTGCGATGTGAAGCATGAACACTTAGTCATAAACCCGTGTTGGGATGGGCTAATCAGATTAGCCAAAAGCAAAAATGATAATAGCTGTTTGTGGATGATTTTTTCCACGGATGTCAGATTAATTGGTCTGTCGTTAATAATGCCAATGCGTGACCCGGTTTCGGATCTAGGGGTGATAAGAGATGTTTTCCATACAGATGGACAGACCCCATATTGCATAGAGAGGTTGAAAAGTTTGAAACAAAATATTGGGGATACTCTACTACCATATAACAGCAGTCTCTGCATCAATAAGCCGCAATATACAGAAGAGGAAAAGCAAGCTCATCAAGTACAACAACAAGAATACCAACACGGTTATATTTGGCGGAAAATCTCTGGAAGATGTGGAATCTCTAACATACCCGGACAGCATCATCGATGAACAAGGAGAATCCAATGCAAACTTAAATGTAAGAATTAGCAAATCAAGGACATCATTCCTACAGTTGAATAACACATTGAACTCAAAACAACTGTTAACCAACACAAATTCACAATCTTCAATACGAACGTCAAGAAAGTTCTACTGTATGGGAGTGAAAAATCGAGAACTACCACAACCATCATCGAAAATGTACAAGTATTTATAAACATTTCTCTGTGCTAGATACTCAATGTCCGTTGACCAGATACCGTCATCAACAACCTACTGTGGGGGGGGGAGGAAATCAGGTTCCGTCCGAGGAGGAAGTTAGGGACAGACGTTGGAAGTGAATGGGACACACATAGAGGAAATCAAACTGCATCACGAGACAAGCGCTCACTTAAAATACCGAAGTGAAGCAAAAAGAGGAAGACAAGAGTACACACTGCGTCGAGAGTTGGAAGATGACATGAAAAGGATGAATAGCAACTGGAAAGAATTGCGGAGGACAGATTTAAGTAGCGAATGGTTGTGGTAGGCCTACGCTCTTCTGCGATGAGTAACAAACGTAAGTAAATAGCAAAGGATCACATAATTAAAATTTGCCAGACCTTGAACGAAATATTTCACGATGGCTTAGTTGATGCGAGAGGCTTCGAAACAACATTAGGAATAGTTTACAAGAAGTTTTGCCAAACTTATCACATGCGACATCCGCAATAGAAATAGTTAAGAGCACAAATGTCACTATTAAAGAAATGCTTTGTCCAATTTACAATCGTGTGCTTATAGAACTTACTTTGGCCCATATGTCTTCGTTCTATCATAAGTACACAGCACCGTAGTATGCAGAGAGCTAGGAAATGAATGCGAATTTGAAATGTGATTTTTCTATCAGCTTGGTAACCCCGAACTCAGTGGTCATAGTTGGCTAGAAAAAACCACAGAACTGACTACATCTTCTGGAGATACGGGAGTTCACATCCAGTGACGAAGTGTTACAATTTCAAAAATTGTTATGTCTGAGGCCTCCATGGTTTTGTGCAAGAAAAGTTTAAATACATCACGGAATGTAATGAAATTGTGACGTTCAGGAAGTTAAACAACAATAAAATTTCTTGACACAATGAAACGAAACCTTTTAAGTTTTATTAACTACTTAATAAACCGAATCTGAGTTCAGCCATTCAGTACTGATCTATTGAATATGTTTTAACTCATCTACATACAGGTTACTATAGCTCAGAGTTCAATAAAATATTGAAACTAATGCCTATTTCTAATTATCCTTATTATTGTCATGAGCAGATCCAAATACCACCAGCTCTTCCAGACATTTTGAAGCAATTCACCAAAGCAGCCATCAGAACCCAACCTAAAGACGTTCTCAAGTGGTCTTATGCGTAAATAGTTCCAATCTGTAATTTACAATTCCACAGATATTTTAAAGCAATGGCACAAAGTGAAATACCACCAGTTAAAGAAAGACTTGAGTTTCCAATAAGTACGCAAAAAACGGACTCGGGTTTAACGCCGGGAATTCTAAAAATTCTAAATAACCAGGTTGGTTCTATAGAATGTGTGCTATATATAGCCAACATTTATACTGGTCTTTTCGGTATCTATGGTACTAAATAATTTATACTAATACCGCCCCAATATTTTGTACACAGTTTAAATTTACAGAATGATATCTGCCTTAATTTACACTTTATTTGTTAAAACTAATAGATGTTAAATTCTAAAATCCGTTGCTTAATACGTGCATTCAAGCACCCGCATACGAACGTCTCAAAGGTGACTTTAGAATTCTGTGTCATTTTATATGATACATTTATACGAGCTTCATCGAACCACATATTCCTTTTCATCCCATCTTTGCGCTACTGAACTGTCTCAAGCCATTAGACATATCCAGTGTAATTCGTTCGATCAATCGAACCCAGTAATCCTGTAGGGTATTTTAAAAGTTCGCCGGTGCATTTTAGAACTGATAATCTTTTCTACAAAAAATCAAGTTCATTATAATTTTTAGAGACTTGGAAGTGGCTGTGCGATAAAGAAACAGATTGGAAGAAAAAAATAAAGGTATTGTTTCGCATCATGAGGTAAAAAACAAGCTCGTCATATTTGTATGCTCACTGTTTCAACTGGAATAAAGCAGTCCGCGAGTGTCTAGATATGCATGACTAAATCTTTTACGGTTGTCCACGGATAACAATACAGCTCCTCACATGGTAGACTATTTGTAAGACCACCGATTTGTAACTCAAAGTGAGTTTTAATGGTGCAGTTGGATCTGTTCACTATCTTACTTCATATCTTCAGCTTTAAACTTACTCCATACTTTTTATTTTAAAAACTCGTGCCTTCTGTCGAATAATGTCTTCCGTCTAATCCCTTAATATCATTGGTGCATCTACTACATTCGTATTCACCTTGACAATCTAACTTGATCTGCGGATATGATATGGGATTTCGACAGGCATATATATTATGGTCAGTTCCAAGTCAATGGCATATGACTCATAGTAGGAAAAAGTTTTGACACTTAAGTGTTCACTCTTTGATTGAAATTTGAGCAGGAGTTTCTTCGCTGAACGACTTTTTTGTGATAACTCGGAGTACATAGCATTTTGTGAGTGATAACAATGTCATTTTTCTCTTGATTCTGAGTACAACATTAACTCACAAGTTGATTTTATGCAATCTGTCCCTCAAACCTAAACATATCTATTTTGTTACTGATCCTAGGAACCCAACGGTCCTGGGTTCGAATCTCACGAGGTGGCATCGTATATGCGCACTACTGAGGAGTCACACAATAGGACTAAACGGCAGTCCAGTGCCTCCAGGTTTATCAAGGTGGTCTATCTCCAAATGACTCAGTACTTCAACTTTAAAACTAATGAAATCTCCACAAAACCACATTCTGATAATCCCTACCAAGTTTTAGTGAAATCGGTGCAAATTGTTGTGGGTTTTAAACTTATATTAGATGTTGATCCCAGAAATTTTAAAAACAAGTTGAAACGTAATGAAGGCTTTAGTGAATATTTTAGGTAGTTTCTCCTTGTCCGTATAGTCTCCATCAAGAGACTTGGATTTTGCTTTTTGAGGATATGCAAATCAACTTTTTTCAATTTTCAAGTCACTTAGGCATGTGAACGTGATTCGAAACGTTTTGTTATATCCCGGAGAAAATTTTGAATGGTGACTTTTGAGAACTATTTATGGACGTATATTTCCTATTATATAATTGTTACGTAGCTCAACTACTCATATTCCTTTTATTATAAGCTTTATTTTGACCGAGAGACTATCGCTGTACGATTTACCATTACTGAGTTATACCCAGTCTATTAATTACCGTTTCCCGTTTTCACAGCCACATTTAGCTGAGTATTGTACAAATGTTATATTCTATTTTATGGTACGATGTAGTCTGTTTGATTGGTATATAAACTCAGTGTTTTGAAATATAACGATTCATATTGCAGAAACTGTTATTGGTGTTCTGGACTTAACTGGCTGGGCTAGGCAGATAGCAGGAACGGCAAGTGCTCTAGACTGCTAGTACGGGTCTCGTGTATCATTGAGCCGATCGATAAATCACTGCTCTCTAATGGACGAGCCACACAATATAACAATTGCCGGTACAATTTATAACACATTTATTTTTTATACTTTACCAATATGTGTCTGTAATTTATCCATCGTGTTTAAAGTAAAAATCGCTCCACGTACATTATTTTAACCCGCTTCGTATTTCAATCATTTTTCCAGTAGTAAACACTCGACGATCTAATACACAAAAATAGGAGAATATTTAGTTATATTGATCTGGGTTTTTTAATTTAAACTACATCGAAACAGATTTGCTGACTTTCCATGTAATTAGCTACAAGCGATTCCGTAACACAACTTATAGTGTTGTCTTGTTTTTTTCATAGCTTGCATCAATGAAAATCGTATCGTTATCCGTCATTGAAGAAAAATGGAAAGATTTGTCGTTGCCAGTTGAAAGATTTCAAGAAATTTGTCGCATAGGAAATTTCGTAAATATCTGTGAATGGAGGTGGTTTTTAGCACTTGCTGCTTCTGACTTATGTGCCGTAAGTCTTTTTATTTCATTTCATACACAGTTTACCATAACTTTTGTCCCAGTTAATTTACTTCCTTTATCATTTCTGATTTATCACTGTAAAAGATATTTCAAGTTGCTATAAAGTGCAAAGAATCTGGTTTGTAAACTAGTGACATTCCAGTCCAATTATTGAAGCATTTTAATGTATCATCGATTTTTTCTAACTGTCTAAGTGCTTACCCCTGATTTATTAACATTAAAGACAAATATACCGTTGATGGTTCGAACTTACGTATAAAATTAAGAAGTCATAATACGTCCTGGTTGACGATTTGAAAATCACAGAAGTAGAACATTGATTTTAAAGAAACATTTTCCAATCTATTCTTGAGGAGTATGACCAGTCACAACGAGCATACAGTGACTGGAATAAGTGCTTGTTTAACTTACGGTAGAGACAAATAGTGAAAAACCATCAATACTCAAACTACTTCAATACCCGAGCCACATGGTCCACTCATTTTTTTGTGGTCATTAGATTACTTGTATGTACGATTATAGCTACACTTCAGTACGTACCTTGAATAAGTCGTAAAAACTTTGACTTACATGTCAGCTAATTAGTTGTCACATAAAAAAGGGGAAAAAATATCCAGCACTCCTCAGCCAGCTATCAGCCTGGAAGTAGACTTTAGAATATCAAACAAAACATCACTGGTCGACATATGTATATTTGTCAAGTCTAATCCTTGATATCATCTCTGTGGGAAACTAGCCTTACCTTGACATAAAACTAATGATACGAGTGAGGTATGGCACCTTCATTACATATCAATAGTTTATTTCTACTTAATAAGAGTTAAACAAAATCTCAGGGCATTTCATCATTTTCCTTCACTTAGATTAACTGAGCACTAAACTGAAACTAAGGCGAATTTCAAAAATTATCCAGTTAACACAACCCATGTTTTAACTGCGCAGATATCATTTTTCAACCTCTAAGATCGTATTAATCGATTAACAAGTAATAACTTGTTTCATAATCTCTAACATATAGTTCTGAATCCAGTTAGCTAACTTAGTTTGCAACGTGGAAGCTAGCCACCTGAAAGAGCTTAATAACAATGCAGAAGATTCAAGTGTATTCCTTGTGAACAATCCCTTATTGGGTGTACATATACTTCGCTCGCAAGTATCTACAATTCGAAACTCAAATTCATGAATTTTTACCAATTTCAGTGAATTTATCTTCATTGAAATATTAAAATTAATTGTTTGGATAATCCGTAGTTTGTCAAAACAAGTGATATTTATTTTCCTAACTTTACAGATTGACATCGACTCAAGTGATTTGTTCTTCCAAAGTAAATTTCTTTATTATTATCTAGGTGTATGACTAAACACAATGAGATTAAACGACACATTCACATAAAATCGGAACGATATGACTTGTTGTTTAAAAATAGAAACATTAATGGATAGTAAGTCAATAAACTTATCAGATGTCCGTATTAAATGTTAATTTGATAAAATCTCGAAGTGGAGTCATATTGTTTGTTCGTCAATACCTGTTAAAAAAACACTCTTTGTTAAGAAATAATTAAAATACCATACATTGTTTCCTATGTCTATTTACATAAATTTAGAATCGCAGTATTTGCTCCATTTACACTGAGAAAACAACAGCCTTTTCCAGCGTACAAACGTTCGGTGAACATGTTGAGAGATACACTACTATAAAACCAAGTATTCTAAGCATTTATCGTACATTTATTAATTTTCAGATTTCTAGACCATTAACGTGATACCCTATATCCACAAGGTATATAAACATTTTTATCATACAACTATATATTTCAAAACTGAACTACATCCAATCACATAATAATTACTATTATTGATGTAATGCTATCCATCCTATTCAGCTATATATAGACTCGTTTACTTAGACCACGAATCATGTTTACTAAGTGAGTTCCAGTAATATTGTCTGGTTGCCAAAACTTCAAGTCAAGTACGGTTTGAGTCCACGATCCGTTGGTGCCCAAAAAATTGACCATAGACTCTTTGTCTTGAGCTTTGAATGAAACAGGATTTACGTCATTTTTCAAGCTTAAGAACTCATTTGCACCTTTTTGTTCTATTATTGCAGACATTATCAGAAACCTTGAAATTGATATGTGAACTTTTAACGGCAGATCCTGAAGGTGGGGCAGCTAGATTACCATTTGAACAATGGTTAGAATTCTATCGTTATCTTGCAAAAATCGATGATATACCAGACGAACATATTAATAAAGTATTAGCCCATTTAAGTTTTGATATGTAAGTTTTCTCTTTCAATTGCTTTGATAAATAAGACTTAATATGTAGAGATAACGGTTGCATAAGTTGATTCCCTAACGATAGGTTTCCTTTCCTATTTGGTGTATGCTTGAATACTATTAGATGTAGAAATTACTAGATGATTAGATTTGAAATACATGATCAAAGTCTCAAACAAGAACGAAACAACGGCATAATTTTAAAATACTTCCCAAACTGTGGTCAATTCCCGATTAAAAACCCTTAAAATTGGATTGACTTCGTATTCCTAATAAAATTCAGCAAACTCCACAACTAAAGCATTAAGTTAAGCTTCATGAACCACACAACGAAATTTTTAAAAACCCTGAGATGAGTTTGAAAAAAGAAACAGTTTTTATCTTCCTTCACAGAAGGGATTGAGTAATCCAGACCAACAACTATCACCTTGTGAAATACCTGCATTTATTTTTATATAACTAGTGGGTGTCTCTATTTCATATAGTGTCAGTCACTTTCAGGAATCAACTACTATACATGTCTACGTGGAAGAACGACAAGAGCGTCAATATTTGTAACAAATAACAAACTAAAAGCACTACGGTCATTTTGATCGGGAAGCTTTATCTGAGAAGAGAGATACGTGAGATGACCTTGACTTTGTTAAGGTTAACGAAGGCTAAATATTTATATTTAGACTATTTTTGACCAGTTAAACTCTATGGGTAGGAAGTTACATGTTTTCAACAATCAGTATCTTCCACCCGTATTTGAACATTAAGTGTTTATTTTGCGTTTCACCAGATACAACTATTTCTCTGTCATATATGAGGTGTACTTTAATTCCAATATATTTGCTCGTTATGCCAAAGGATGAGATAAAAAGGAAAATTTGCCAACAGCAAATATTCTTGTCCGAGTTCTCCATTACTAAGTATAACAATAATTTGTAATTCCTTTAAACTACTCGTAGGTACACATAGTAACGTTTATATTACGGAAAACAAAAAAACGAATTAGATGAAAGCTAAGTGTAAAATCTAATCGTAATCACACTTCCAAGAAGTCTTGGGATTTTAACTGTGATAAAAATCTTCAAAAATTTATTTTTCTTTGTGACCTGATTTGAACACACAGCTAACAAGTGTGAACCAAAATAAACAAAGAACATCCCCATTGAATATATAATGATTTAAATGACTCTTTTTAAATTGTTGGTTCTCTTCAAAATTTACTTCTGGTCTTCATTTTTAAATTTTCTTTTAAAAGTGCAACTCAAAATGGTGCAATTGCACCTCGTAATTTTATGCATAAAAATTGTCCAAAATTAAATCCAAGCGAAGGAGTAAATGTACTCGCTTTTACAGAATCAACCGTTGAAGACTAACAATTCTTGTATCAATGAAACATCATATATATGTATATACATCAATAGGAAGAATATTCCGAGTATTTTACACCAGCGTTCGACTTATTATTTACTATCTGTTAGTTTATTGAAAAGGTAAACTAAGAGCAATTGAAGTTGGTTAATATGAATGCAATTGTCGATGAACGAAATGGAATTTTGGAAATTTTGAGAATTTCAATTAGTTTTGCTTTATTTTGTGAGTGGAAATCACTTTTTAATAAATGCGGATGTTTAACGCATAATATTATGAGTTTGAAACAAGTCTATTGGTGACCTTCACAAGATGAATATAAAATTTAAGGGAATCCAGTTTTTATTTCCTGACTTCAATAGTTTCGTAATTAATGATGGAGACTGTCTTTGAAATACACAAGCATGTTGAGAGGAATCACTTACTGGTAATTTATGGATTTCTCGAAGCTTTAGTAGGAAACCATACCTGGGCCCCCAAATGCCCTGGTACGGCCGAGAGTGGGGAGAGTCACCTCTCCCTCTCGAAATACTCTCATATGACCAGCGAATATATAGCCTCTGCCACGGAAGTCCTACTCACTGCCTTCTCGTGGCGGGGGTGTTGTTTACGAAAGTGAGAGGACGAAAAGCGAATGTCCGGCGCTTTAACCGGGTTGGTGGATATGGAGGGTCCACCTAGGGGAGTTGGAAAACCCTGATTCCAAACCAGTGGTGCACATGGGCTCCAGTATCCTCAAGGAACAAATGGCGTACGAATCAACCGTTGATCACCGGCTACCATGGGACTGCATCTCCTCACGATGCTCCACTGCCTTGTGGATCAGATATTCAGGTCAAAGGCTCCGGGTGTGGCCCCCTAAGAAAACCACCTGCTTCAGTCTGGGCACCTGGGCAGTATCACAGCCCTCACACAAATCAAATGAGATTTGTGAGGCGCATATTTATCTGGTGCTTCCTTGTACCAATATTTATGTGTTTAAATAAATAAATAAATATAAGGAAACCATAGCTTGTAGAAACGACTGAGTTGATAGCGAGGAGCAGCAATTCACATATTGCTAGAAATGACAATCGCACTAATTTATAGTGGAAAACGTACAAACAGGCTACATGAGAAGTGTTGTTTCACAAATAACTAGCAACCTTAAGAAGTGCATGTCCTTTTATATTGCTAATAATGTTGTCCTTACAGTTTTGAAAGCAAAATATTAGTACCTAGTAAACTCAAATAACGTAATACTGAATATCAGAAGACGATAAGTGCTTACGATTACTGGTTATTTATATAGTTTGTCTATGGAGTCATAAAACATTTTAGCCACGTTTCCAAACTCTAATGTTCACGATTTGAACAACTATTTCAGAGTGAACACAAACACTCCTTAGTTGTTTTCATACAAGCTATCCATCAGCTGAATAGCCTTTGAGAATTAGAATAATATGTAGGAAGTAATTACCTAAAAATGGATTCTTTCAAGTAAGGGCCTATACTCTAAAACAGTTTTGGTAGGGCTATAGTCAAAAGAGGTAACTATGTATATAGCCATCAATTATAATCCAATTCTAAACTACAAATTAATACAATTAGCGCAAAAACCCAATTACGAAGAGAACAAATAACGCACGCATACCAAACAGTAGCAAGGATATAACAAACTGAGTCAATAACAAAGATTAGTTATGTTTTACAACTGGTGCAATGTTATGGTTGATAGTTAAATAAAAAGAGTAAGAGTAAAACCAGTCATGGGCATTTAATTCAAATAATATTGGCTGATTTGCCCTTATCGATAGAGAGTAACATACCATTCAGCCCTTTTCTCTGGTCTTCGTACTCTTTTAGTTTGCACCTATGACCCCACTTTGAATCTGACCTAGGACCTTACGATTCCTTGACGTATCAGAATTAAGTGGTTCTTAATCCCAACTTCAGTCGATTTGCAGTATCATCCGAAGGAATTGGTGGTATCTGTCTGTTTCGGATATGGTTGAATCCCTCCAGTTATGACTTCATATTAGAATACTCAGCAATTATTTTTCGCATTTTAGTTAGTCATGAAATCATAGGATAGCATGTTGAAATCATAGGATAAATCTTAAGAAGCCTATTTCTTGAGAATTCGAATATGCATTACCCAGTTAGTCCAATTTCTGCATAAACTGCCATTCTACCAGTACATAAGTAATATTATAATAAGTCAGCCACAAAAATGACCGTGAAATTAAACGGTATTACAATCCTTTATTCCTATAATTCGTTTATGATCGAGAATTTAGTGGCTCCGTTAAATTGACCAGCTTCTAACAAATGGTTCAACAAACATGAGATGCTAGAAAAAAACTTATGAAGAATTACTACTGAAAATAACACCCCACATTCCTCTTCTTTAATATTTTACAAATAGTATTAATACCATTATTAGCAGCACATTGGGACCACTTTTAGCCAACTATTCCCAAAGATTATATTTCGTAAAACAAGTCTAACGCTCTTCCTTTGCTTAACATTCAGACTGAGTTTAAAACCCAGGATTGCATTAGTGAATAAGTTGAGTAATTTCGCGATGTTTGCTGAACGGTAAAAGAATCGCATGTTACTATAGTAGGTAAAGATACTACATAAGTATTATTTTCGAAACTCTTTACCGACCGTTCACAAGAGATTTTTAAGCATACTTGAAGACAATAAGAGCTAAATAACTACGGACCAAAAATGTATCGGTGTATTGGTCTTAGTAAATTGCATAATATTCATTTTTGATAACAATTCCTGATGATTGTTTCTAAAGCACAACAGGCAAATTTTGTCAATAAACAGTGCTCTAAATGATAGATAATAACCTTGAAATCAGATGGAAATAACTCATTAGGATACAAGTACATTCACCAAGCTTATTCCAAGAAATGAAAGTAAACACTTATCTTGGGCTCTCGCTATTGTTCACCTTTAATTTTAACCGGTTTCTCGTTGTTTCTTAAATATTGGAGAAAACCACAACACATGATAATAATATCCATTCAATTTAGCGTGCTCTTTTTCCAAGTAAACTAGGTAACTTCGACTGTTCTTGAGCTAAAGTTGCAGTTTTTCTGACAAGTCGAAGTAGGATGAAATGTTCATCCTGAGTTCCGCTACTGGTAGCTATCCCAAAAAGAACGGCAAATCTGAGTTACTCAATAAATATTCCGCCTGTAGTTGCTCAGTATAAGCAGGTGTTGATATTATTTTGACGAATTCGAGAAGTGTACAAGACCAGACGTTCGTAAGACCTAGATCACAATTACAACCCTCAACCGGAAAGTTCTAGTCAAAGACCCATACTAACCGTGCTAAGCCATATTCAGAAAATAACTCAGTATTATCGATATGTACTTAAAGTCACAATAGGTTCCCATCATGAAGAAACATCCAAGTCACAAGTGATAAGTACAGAGTGTCTAGTTATTATGTGGGGTCTGTGTTCCACAACCCTACCACAGCTGACTGGACCCAGAGCATCTGGTCTCGGGCGCAAACGGCCAACACATAGCGAGCTGAGTCACCATCCAATGATGTGAACGCCTAGGGTTCCTTGTGTTGAGGTCACGAATGTGAACTGCTGAGGATTCCCATACTAGGAGACAGCTTTCCAGTGCTTTTCAATGGTGGAATAGCCAAGATCGCTTTTTGATTCAAATCATGAAGAGTATTTGACTAGTTAGTTGCTAGAGTAACCAGATAATCTACGCTGTGCTTGGGGAAAAAAGACATGCACTCAATCAATGAGTCATTTTATACTTTGAATAAATTCAATCACCTACATTTACGTCAATACGATTTTCAACTACCGATACTCGACCCTTGACTAAACGGTCCATAGTCATGTGATTTTACCTTACTGAACTAATCGGTTGCCATTCAGTTAATTGTGACAACAGGGTGACGTTCGTATCAAAGCAACTTATGTAGTTTCGAAACTAGTGTCTCATTCAGTGAAATTAGATGACTATAATGTGACAACCATTTGTTATTTCACAACGCATAAACGCAGTGCTATATAGTCTTAAGATGCTCTACACAACACGAACCATACCACGACATACCAGACTGACTGTCGACGACAAGCAGAATAGATCGCAAATTCAGCCAACCAGCTATGAATTCAGAAAATGATGCCAACATCACAACTGTATTTCAAGACATTATTTTACTTTTACACATTTAGCTTCTTTTGGAGGAGCTTCGTCAACTTTGTTAGCAGCTTTTCGTTTAAGTTTTCCGTTCTTAATGGCACGCGCGAGGGCCATCTTGAAGTGTTTTTCTCCAAGTGCAAATGGATTCAATTTTAGCAACGCCTAGAAAAGATTCGGAAATGAACGCCATTACAGTTGAAAAGTCCAAGAAATGATATGAGCTAAGTTGAAATACATTTTATAACTTACCTGTTGGTTCTTCAATGGATTTTTCTTGACTTTAGGACCTGGACGCTGCAAGTGCATGCGCCTAGATTTCAAGACCGAGGAAACTTCACGGCAATGTAAAAGTCTACCTAAGTCTGGGTTGGTCATCTTTGCTATGGGAAGGTGGAAACCAGATTTTTTCACGCTTCCTGTTTTTCGAGTGCCATAGAGCTTGTCCAACTGACGGAAAGCTGAGTCCGACCAAATAGCTAAACGTCCCATATGGCCACCTGGGGCTAGCTTAAGAAGATTAAGGGCTTTGACGTTAATCAAAGTGATACCTAAGAGACGTCAATTAGGTAAACAAAACTTACCTGGAATATTTCTGAAGGCACGTGATATTCCATCATCTTTTTTATAAATTACTATCGGACCACGCTTCTGAATTCGTCTGCGATTTCGCATTTTACCTTTACCAGCACGGAATCTCTGAGAGTTGTAAACTTTTTGAATATCAGGCCAAGCCCGGATGGCCTTAAGTACTTTTACAGCATCTTTTGTTTTCTTAAGGGACTCGACCTCCTTAGATAAAACAAGTGGGAGCTCAGGAACACGGTCAACTCGATGCCCACGAGCCATGACTAATGACGGTACTCCAGTTGCAGCGATTGCTGAGCATATGGCATATCGTCGCTGCTGAATATTTATCTTTCTGTGCCAACGTCTCATTGTCTTTGTAGGAGCGTACATATGCCCACCACGACACATATTTCCGTAAGCACCTTGACCTGACCTGTGTGTACCACCACCTCTCACTCTAGGAATACGGGCAACTGCTCTTCCGGTACCCCAGGATTCGGCAGACGTCTGATGACCAGCCTTTGAACTGACTGCATATGGTTGCCTTGAATTTTTACGCATTTGGTCATGGACAAAATTTAGAAGGTCCAAACGTAGCGGGGTAGTGAAGACTGCCGGCATCTTAATGGTGGAGCCTGTAGATGCTCCATTTACTCCATAAACATTGACAATGGGCCTTGTAACAGCCTGGAAGACCAAGAAAAATTGTTACAGAAATTACACTACATGTTATTTTACACGAAGCCAGGAACGGCAATTACCAAACATAGAATATGTGCGTTGTAACTAACTTAAGGTTATGGAGTAAACGATAGACGCATACTCGACACAAATACCCTGGTGTCTATTTTGAAGCGCCTTGAGGAAACAGCCTAGACTTCGAAAATATTGTTTTTGAGACGGCTTGAATTGATCGTCTTTATACAGTAGTGTAGCACTTAGCCCCAGTCTAACAAAAATCAGTCACTTGAATCGAAAACAGATAATTATCCGTGTTGCCGGGATTGTCTGTAGTTCCGGCTAACGGTCACCAACATATGAAATAAATCAACTCACGATGACCATTTGTGATGCCAAAGACGATGTGAGAAGTCACAAATGGACATCATTACTTACTATGAACTCAACTTTAAGATACATGGGGGAAAATCGAATTGCATCTGTGAAAAGACTTCTTACTACTAAGATGTCATTGGATTGCCAAATTCAATTTGTCTGCCATAAAGAAAATTGATATTAGGCAGAGGCCGGAACTTAACTAGACATGCAAGCTAAAAGTAGGAACACAACGCTTCTAGGAAATAATTCAGAAACTACGCAACACCAGATACGAACCATGTTAGCGTGAACAGCAAGCGATCTGTGTAAACCGCTAAACTGTCATACACTAAAACAACGTACCCAATTGCCCCAAATGAATCCAGACTTGATAGCTAATTATGATAAAATAAACACCATATTAAAATAAAAATATATGTCTCAAAGTTTAGCGCTCTGTGTATATACAATGCTTCAAATGAGTAAAATTGACTAGTCATACTATATTTTAGATTTAAAGCCTTTGACTCGTATAAATCCTAGCCGACGAAATACAAATTGTTCAGATAAATTATAGACTCATATTTTAAACGCTTAAGAAAATGAGCTGTTTCCGGGAAAAATCAATATGACGCTTTTCGATATGTTACACATTAACTAGCTATAACTCAGTTGGATTTATAACGACCAAGTATGGTTAGAATGAGTATGAGCTAAATATTGCATAAGTGCATGGTGTATTTCAGTTGAACTACGGAAATAAAAAGTGAATCTTTAGATTTTCGCTCAGCATCATATTGTCTTTTGGCTGTATTGAACTGCCTGTTGACCTTATGTGAAGATGTGATACCACAGGTATTATAGTTTGACAACACTTTGACCAGTAGCACCTTTCATAGATGAATCCAGCCCACCCAGTGAAATCAAATCTCAGAAGCGAGGAGGTTCGAAAATATATTTGATAGATTATCAATATATCGAGAAGCGACTGTTCTAAACTGGCTAGCGATCACAAGAGAAGTTAAACACGGCATTCCCACTCGTGATCTGGTGAGGATGCATGACCGAGCGTCTTCAGCTAGGTGAGTCCATTGAAACTAATGTGGTCGTCATCTAATGTCTAACACTTACTGACTCTGTCCTTTCAGTATTTTCATTGGTGAGCACGTCACCTGGCATTCTGAAGATTTTGTGAGGCTGTCTCTTACCTCCTCTTCAATGTTTTACACAGATTTTGCGCTGCATGATTCCCTGTTTTGGTCAACGAACATTTGATGGGGTTCTTGTTTCACTACAAAAGAAAGTAGTGAAGCGACCATCTGGTTTCAAAGGTTCGACCCTCTAGATCGCCAGAATCCATATTGACAATGTCAGTTTTATCTCGTCAGAGACTCGAAGACTCCCATACGACTTGGGCTTACATTACTGAACTTGCTAGATTTCCGTTATTGTAAAAGCTGCAATAAGTACATTTGGCACAGAGTTACGAAAATGTTACAGCTTACTTGCTGACTCAAATAAGTGGAGGTTGGCAAATGTTGACATTAAGCCATCCGTTTGCTATACAAACTTTTAACGTTGTGATTTCACTCAGTAAAAGTCAAGTATAAAGTAGATTGATGCCTTATTTTGAAACGCATAAAGTATCCTGAAATCAACCAAGCAATGAAGAGATCCCATGTTCAACCAGGAATGTTACACATCTGATATCTAAATCTCCATATTTATGTTCTCGAAATACACAAACCAGCTATCGACAGGTTGAGATGGGTGGAAAAGAAATCTGATCATATACTAAGTTTTAAATCATCGCTTATTTTCAGATTCCACAGAATTCCATTTTACATGTAGTTTCCAAATAAAGCGTCACTGATTAGCAATTGAATTACCCAGATATGCTTTAAAGACGGGAAGTGTATTCTTAACATGACATGAATTTTTCTGAATATTTCGAAGTTTCGCTTTAGAAAATAATCTTTTGAGGGCTTGGAATTCGTTATAATACTTAAAATTGTTGATGAGACTTGGATTTGTGGTAGACCGATAACCGAAATTATGATTTTATCCTTGTTATATCTCATCTTTTTGCACCCCTCAGAACTAATAATCTTCGAGGTCATAGCAGGAAGGTTGAAAAAACGCTATCTAATAAACTTAAAGTAGTGCCCCGCTTTTCCCATGGAGTGGTCAATGACTGGAACGCCTCACCTGAACAGGTGGTGTGATGTGGGTTACTTATATTCACATAAGTATTATATTACGATGGTCGGGCATTGAATGTATTTCAGTAGAAGATCGATAAGGAAAGAACGGGAACGAAGCTCAATTGGTGTGAAAATGCATGGACAATAAAAATCGGAGACGATGAACTGATATTTACAAAAGGAACAGTGAAGATTCAGTCAGGTGATTGATAATTTGCAAATTAACTATTTACTGTATGGTTATCAGATTTCAGTAAGACAGTTTGTAATTTGTGTTTAAATATATTCGGTTGTCCCCACTCGTGTCCTTGTTCACTACAGTGGCATCAGCCTCACCAGTGAACATTTTCAAACACAATCCGGAAAGCGAACTGTAAGGATTTACACAGGTTCATCAACCTACTATCCTTATTACCGAATACTTTTGACTGTTTACTACCGGCATTCAATGGGAAAGAAGCGTGTAACCTGTAAACAAATCAAGCTTTTCCAGCAAAACCAACTTCGATGTCGAATGAAATGCTCAAACAACTACTACTTTGTCATGTGTAGTGTGCTAGCTATGAGTACAGAGATCAAGTTTTCATAAAATGATGCGAAAATATGAACAGAAAGTCAAAGACCTTGTATTTGAACTGTAGAAATGGGACGCGAAGTGCAACTTTGGAGACCGATTTGAAACTCAACTTCGTAGTCGAACGATTGCTAAGATAAATATTCTGAACACTGTAAGAAATAGGATTCGAAACCTATAGGTTATTCACAAAAACTTAAAACAGCATATATTAACCATCAGTCAGTGAATGAGTTTTCGATACTTTGCTTGTCGTGGTGATGAATTGTATTCCAATGTTGCTAAAACTCGCATTTGTTTAATGATAGTTTCCATTCTCGTGGAAATTATCCAACAAACAATTACAAAGCAGGTTAAAAAGATAAGCACAGCTTTGGCAAATATTTATCCTGTGGCAAATTCCACTTACGTATTTCATATGTTTTTCTTTATGTCAAATGCTTCGAGTTTGGCAAAATGGGACATATTAAGTCAGTTTGTAGAGCAAGTATACATGGTGTTAAACTATTTAATTCGGATTTTATTTAATTGAGTGTTCCTGATGATTATTTATCTTTATCCACGATCTCGAGAGGTTATTTCCACATTTAAAAGCTATCATATACTTCCCTTGATTCATATAATGACTTTATTGTTGACAAAGGCAGTACAGAGACCGTTATTATATCCAAGGACATGAAATCTTTCGATCCTAGCGTTGTGATGCGATCCAGTGGAGTCTCAGTATTTGGAATACTCCATAAAACTGGTGCATGCGCGGATGCTGTCAATTGCTAATATGAGATAATTATTCTTCATACGTGCCTTGTGAGTTTTTAGCTAATGAAACAGGACCATCAATACTGAGTTTGAAAAATTCGTAAAGGCTTGAGGTGAAGTCGTCTTTGCAAGTTCCTAAGAAAGATTCCGGTGCTTTACTTAAAGATTTGGCAGATGCATGTACAAATCGCAGCAAAGGTACGAGGATTCAGCCCATGAAACTTCACGTACAGGGTGACCCATCTTTCTTAAGATAAGAATAATTTCTTATAGCCTTCGAGAAGCAGTATATAGGACATTGAACGAATTGTGTGCAAAACGTATAGTTAAACCGAACTAGTATTGAGCATGGGGAACCCCTGTTATTAAGCACTTGAAATCTGATGGCAAAACTTCCAAATTATGCGGGTACTCTAGATCAACGCTGATATCCTGTTTTTTGAAGCAAACGTGCACGTCAGTAGAAGCTGAAAATATTTTTAATCCACTTCATTGTTATGAGGTGTTCTCGTAAGTTAACCTGAAAGATGGTCATTTTCACGTTCCCTTAGATCCGTTTTCATCCATTTTGACAAAAATGAACACTCCTTTTGCCTGTTCACACACAACTTCCTTCCACTTGGCCTAATTTGTTCTGCAACTATATTATAGGAACTGAGCAATAAAAGTCGATGATCTTAAAGGTATCGAAACTTATCAACATCGTTTTAATATTCATGGCTCTGGTAAAGGGGCTTGTGGTCAGATACCTATTGCTGCACTAAAGCCATTACAAATCAGTGTTCATTTTGTGCATCTGGTTTTGAATGTTTCGGATATCAAGATGACGGTAACGGTCTCAAACCGGATATGATGTGACTAGAACCACTGACAAAGTCACGATCTCCGAACTGCGTTCAATACTGGGTGCCCTTCGACCTATGGCTATACGTTTCAACATAGGAGTATTAAGCAAATTAAACTTGCTGAACACATTTCTCGGCAATTATTACAAGATAGACCTGTTGAATGTGAACAGGCAAAAGGAGTGTTCATTTTTGTCAAAATGGATGAAAACGGATCTAAGGGAACGTGAAAATGACCATCTTTCAGGTTAACTTACGAGAACACCTCATAACAATGAAGTGGATTAAAAATATTTTCAGCTTCTACTGACGTGCACGTTTGCTTCAAAAAACAGGATATCAGCGTTGATCTAGAGTACCCGCATAATTTGGAAGTTTTGCCATCAGATTTCAAGTGCTTAATAACAGGGGTTCCCCATGCTGAATACTAGTTCGGTTTAACTATAAGTTTTGCACATAATTCGTTCAATGTCCTATATACTGCTTCTCGAAGGCTATAAGAAATTATTCTTATCTTAAGAAAGATGGGTCACCCTGTACGTGAAGTTTCATGGGCTGAATCCTCGTACCTTTGCTGCGATTTGTACATGCATCTGCCAAATCTTTAAGTAAAGCACCGGAATCTTTCTTAGGAACTTGCAAAGACGACTTCACCTCAAGCCTTTACGAATTTTTCAAACTCAGTATTGATGGTCCTGTTTCATTAGCTAAAAACTCACAAGGCACGTATGAAGAATAATTATCTCATATTAGCAATTGACAGCATCCGCGCATGCACCAGTTTTATGGAGTATTCCAAATACTGAGACTCCACTGGATCGCATCACAACGCTAGGATCGAAAGATTTCATGTCCTTGGATATAATAACAGTCTCTGTACTGCCTTTGTCAACAATAAAGTCATTATATGAATCAAGGGAAGTATATGATAGCTTTTAAATGTGGAAATAACCTCTCGA